AGCTGTTCTTGAAAAGAGCAGTTTGTGTCAGAGCTCTCTCGGCCCCACCTACCTCACAGAGTGTCTGTTGTGGGGAGGGGAAGGGAAAGGAGTTTGTAAACCGCTCTGAGACTCCGAGTGAAGGGCGGGGTATAAATCCAATCTCTTCTTCTTCATACAAATATGTCTGGGACCTGTGATCCACTCTGTTGTGTGTGCGTGTTCTATATTAACAGATGTATGTGATATGTATCCTGATTGGGATGGCCCAGCTCAGCCCAGTACAAGAAAGGGGGCCAATATTAAAAACTTAATGAAGGAAATATATAAAAAATACAGTGGGCGTGGCCAACTCTGAAGCCAGCCGGAACTCCATTCCTGGGCGTTCCTGCCCAAAACTAGCCCTGAATTAAATACATGTATTTTTATATATATATTTCCTTCAATATTCTTTTAATATTGGCCCCCTTTCTTGCATTTGACTAACCTTTGTCAGGTTCTGGATTATAAGTTTCAGGTTCAGTTTTTTCCCCCTTCCCTTTTTTGTCCCAGCTCAGCCCAGTCTCATCAGACCTTGGAAGCCTAAATTGTGTCAGCCCTGGTTAGTACTTGGATGGGAAACCACCAAGAAAGTCCAGGGATAGATGTGATATTTTTGAGCTATTTTTGAGCCAAAAGCTGCCTTTGGAAGCGTTCCTTGGGATTAGTCCTCATGATGGCATAATTCAATGCAAAGTGTTCCGGGGGGGGGGAGATTCTTTATATTTTATTATATAAATATGAAACCATGGCATCCTTTAACTTTTGTTTGAAGTGAGACTGACCTTCCACTGGACCTTAGAATATGAACTCAGGGTCACCAGATCCTTAGTAAAATTTCCCGGATTTGAAACAATCTAACACTAGTAATTCTGAGAGCTTTGGTCCCTTGTTTTCAAAGATGAGACATTAGTATTTTACTGCTGAAATTTGTATATAATTGTATCTCTCGTAACTGTTCTGGTTTTGCGTTATTTTTGTCTCTAAACTGCATTTAGGAATTTTTTAAAATTTACAAATCATTTCAATGTATTAAGACCTAATTAGTCGATTGTTTTATAAATTATTTCTCTACAAGATTCAAACTGAAGAAATAATTCAAGATAGATTCAATTTCAGATGCCAGCTTGTTGGATAAAGCCCTGTTAGCTCCTGAGTTGATATTTCCCCCCTCTTCTCTTGGTTTATTCAGCTTATTTTTTGTTGTAGTTTATATATTACATTGTGAAGAGATAATTTAAATTTTGTAAAAATCTCCTATTAATAAATAAATAAAAAAGCAAACAGATTTGAGAACTGAATGGTGTTAGCATGTCTAGTGATATAAGAAACCGATATCTCTGTTAAACCCTGGGGGTTCCATTGTCCTGAGTGTTGTAATAACCTGTAATTCAGCAGTCTCCCATTCTAGTTTGTTTCTGAAGTTCCTTTGCAATAAAAGAGCTACTTTGAGGTTCCCCATTGAATGTCCTGATCTATACCTAGTAGTATAGACCACAATCCCTAAGAAATGTCCAAGTAGCTTGTAAATAATTTTGTACAGTGCTTTTTGTTGTTGTTCAGTCGTACAGTCGAGTCCGACTCTTTGCGACCTCATGGACCAGATCACACCAGGCCTTCCAGTCTTCCGCCTTCCTCTGAAGTTTGCTCAATTTCATGTTCGTTGCATCTATGACACTGTCTAACCATCTCATCCTTTGCCGTCCCGTCTTCTTTGACCTTCAATCTTTCCCAGCATCAGGGTCTTCTCCAGTGAGTGCTCCCATCTCATTTGGTTGCCAAAGTATTTGAGCTTCAGTTTCATTATCTGGCCTTCCAGGGAACAGTGCTACCCTATTGCTTACATAGAAAAGCCTTCTTGAATAGTTTTGCATAGTTTCCGGAAAGCCAGGCATGTATACTCAAAAAGTTCCGGAGAGTAATTCTGAATCACGCCTTTGTGTTATAAAATTCTGTGGAACAAGTGATAAAAGGAAGTACTTCTTCACCCAAAAAGTAATTCACACATGGAATTCACTGCTGCAAGAAGTGGTGGCGGCTATAAGCTTAGACAGTTTCAAGAGGGAATTAGATAAGCATATGGAGCAGAGGTCCATCAGCGGCTATTAGCCACAATGTATAGATTTCCAGAGAACAGCAAGGAGAGATAAGGAGGCCTTCCTGAATGAACAGTGCAAAGTAATAGAAGAAAACAATAGAATGGGAAGGACTAGAGATCTCTTCAAGAAAATTGGAGAAATCAAGGGAGCGTTCCATGCAAAGCTGGCCATGATAAAGGACAAAAACGGTAGGGACCTAACAGAAGCAGAAGAGATTAGGAAAAGATGGCAAGAATACACAGAAGAACTATACAAGAAAGACCTCAATAACTATACCAGAAAGACCTCGATGTCCTTGACAATCACGACGGTATAATCACTGACCTCGAGCCAGACATCCTGGAATGTGAAGTGAAATGGGCCTTAGAAAGCATTGCTAACAACAAAGCTAGTGGAGGTGATGGAATCCCAGCTGAGCTATTCAAAGTCTTAGAAGATGATGCTGTTAAAGTGCTGCACTCAATTTGCCAGCAAATTTGGAAAACACAACAGTGGCCACAGGATTGGAAAAGGTCAGTATACATTCCAATCCCAAAGAAGGGCAATGCCAAGGAATGTTCAAACTATCGCACAATTGCACTCATATCACATGCTAGCAAGGTCATGCTCAAGATCCTACAAGCTAGGCTTCAACAGTACGTGGATAGAGAACTACCAGAAGTACAAGCGGGGTTTCGAAGAGGTAGAGGAACTAGAGATCAAATTGCCAACATTCGCTGGATTATGGAGAAAGCAAGAGAGTACCAGAAAAATATCTACTTCTGCTTCATTGACTATGCTAAAGCTTTTGACTGTGTGGATCACAACAAACTATGGCAGGTCCTTAAAGAGATGGGAGTACCAGACCACCTCACATGTCTCTTGAGAAACCTGTATAAGGGCCAAGAAGCGACAGTTAGAACCGGATACGGAACAACTGATTGGTTCAGCATAGGAAAAGGAGTACGACAAGGATGTATACTGTCACCTTGCTTATTTAATATATATGCAGAGTACATCATGCGAAATGCTGGCCTGGATGAATCACAAGCGGGAATTAAGATTGCTGGGGAAAAGATCAACAACCTCAGATATGCAGACGATACCACTCTAATGGCAGAAAGTGAAGAGGACCTAAAGAGCCTCTTGCTCAGGGTAAAAGAGGAGAGCGCAAAAGTGGGCTTGAAGCTCAACATCAAAAAAACTAAGATCATGGCATCCGGCCCCATCACTCCTTGGCAAATAGAAGGGGAAGTCGTGGAAGTGGTGACAGACTTCAGGTTCCTGGGATCCCAGATCACCGCAGACTGTGACAGCAGCCATGAAATTAAAAGACGCCTGCTCCTTGGGAGGAAAGCGATGGCGAACCTCAACAGCATGATAAAAAGTAGAGACATCACCCTGCCAACAAAAGTCCGCATGGTCAAAGCAACGGTATTCCCAGTAGTCATGTATGGCTGCGAGAGTTGGACTATAAGGAAGGCCGAGCGCCGAAGAATAGATTCTTTTGAACTATGGTGCTGGAGAAGACTCTTGAGAGTCCCTTGGACTGCCAGAAGATCAAATCAGTCAATCCTAAAAGAAATCAACCCTGACTGTTCCCTGGAAGGCCAGATAATGAAACTGAAGCTCAAATACTTTGGCCACCAAATGAGAAGGGAGCACTCACTGGAGAAGACCCTGATGCTGGGAAAGATTGAAGGTCAAAGAAGACCGGGACGGCAAAGGATGAGATGGTTGGACAGTGTCATCGACGCAACGAACATGAAATTGAGCCAACTTCAGAGGACAGCGGAAGACAGGAGGGCCTGGCGGGAGCTGGTCCATGGGGTCGCGAAGAGTCGGACTCGACTGTGCGACTGAACAACAACAAAATAGATGAAACACTCTTACTGGGCCTGATCCAGCACGGTTTATTTAATCCCATTGGCTTGAGCATCCCACCATAACAGATCACCCCAAGCGCTGGGGGTATAGAGATGCGAGGAGAAGGTACTGTTTGGATAATTAGAAAAACACCGTGGCTAGATGCGACTTGGGAACGTTGCCAAGAGTAAGCAAAGCGCCGGCAACGTTTGTTCTCCAATCACGGCGCAGTCTGTCCTATTTGGAACGCGGGCGGTGGCTTTTGGAACGCCGAGGGGAGGAAGCAGGTGGCAACATTGTCATCCAATCACAGAGCAGCCTGGAATTCCAGCTGGTTCGTTTCCTTTGATAAAAAGGAGGAGGTGTGCGTGCGCGCGTGGGGGATGGAGCTCTTGCCCTGTTCAAATATGGCCGCAAAAGGGAGGTTACAGGGGGTTCCCTGCTAAAAAGTCACTTCCGGAGAAAACAGGGAGGGTAGGTTGGGGAGGGGGGGATAAGATGGCTGCCCCCATCAAGATCGCAGAGTGACCATGTAGTGGAGTCCAGCCTCGTTGCTGGGGCACCTCTTTCTCCCATGCAAGGTGCTTTGCCAGGACAGGGGTGCCTGGTATTCCGGGGTTGCCTAGCTGAGGTGCCCCAGTTCCCAGAAAGCCCCTCCCCCCATGCATGAGTGCCCTACTACACCTTGTCAATTTAGTCTGGCCTTATCGAAGTATGCAGAGAGGGATTTCCCTGCGGAGAACTCAGCTTATTCCCTTGCACACAAGAAGTGCCGTCTGTGCAGATGTTAAGCCATATGCTGCTGGTGTTTGTTGTTTTGAAGCTGTAAGCGGTGGTTCTCGTGCAAGCGGGCTTCTCTTGGAGGGGGGGGAACATGAAGGTAACTGTGCCTGGCACGTATCTCCGTGAGATGCGGTGGTGCCCGCTCCTTTGTTTCACTGGGACGTTTTCCCGTTAAATTGCAACGAAGGGAAGGAGACAGGGTAGTGCAGGGAGGGGATCACCCCCCCCCCCCAATGGGCTCAGGGGGGCCGGCGGTGCGTGGTCGAATCGGGGCCATGGGGAACGTGCTTTACCCCGCGCCCGTCCTACGAAGGGGGCCCCGCCGAGAGGAGCCTCTGGCTAACCCAGGCAGTTTCGATGAGCTGCACAGAAAATGCAAAGGTAAGGCTTATATTTGCTGTCCTTTCGGAACCGAGGAGCAAATGGGGTCGGTTAGCAGCTCCAAGGCCGCCGGGCGGGGGCAGGCCGCTGCGGCTCCTCTCCGAAGTGAGTTGCCGGAGAGTCCGTAATTGCTTCCCTCCCTCCAGTTTTGGGTTGGTTGCTGCAGGGCAGCGTTTGGCACAAGGGCTACCAGCTGTCGATCCTGCCCAAGAGCTTCTTGAACTCATTACTTAATTAATGTTATTTATAGTCCGCCTTGCTCACTGGGACTCCAGGCGGACTACATAGAGTGCCAGAGCAGAGGTCGAGTCCAGTGGCACCTTTAAGACCAACGAAGTTTAATTTGGGGTCTAAGCATTCCTGTGCATGCATACTTCTTGTATCTGAAGAAGGGTGTGTGCACACGGAAGCTTATACTCTGAATTAAACTTCTTTGGTCTTAAAGGAGCCACTGGACTCAAACTCGTTCTGTTGCTTCAGACCAATGCAGCGGCCCACCTGAATCTACATATGAGTCCTGTCAATGCAATCAACAGGACATTCAATAAGCAATGAAATAGGGCTTGGGTTGTAGAAGCAACCAAAAATTTAAAAACCAGAACTGAAGCGATGCAAGTTGTTAACATGACACATTAAATGATGCAAAATTAAAACTACATAGTAGGATCCACCTTACAGCAAACTATACATAGTGGTGTAGCCTACAGTCCCTACTAATTTTTCCAGGTAACTTTGTGAATCGTTTTTTATAGCGCTGCCCAGTTATCTGTGTAGAAAGGCCTAGTGAATAGTTCAGTTTTGCATAGTTTGCAGGAAGCCAGGAGAGGGGGCACCTTCCCGACCTTTTCAAGCAGGCTGTTCCACCAGGCAGGAGCCACCACAGAGAAGGCATGCATATAGGTAGTTGCTGATTTTGCCCATTTGCGGATTAGACAGTTTGAACTGTGACTGTAACTCATCTTCCTTGCGTGGTTGGATGTGAAGGAACTGAAAAACTCTGTACAAACACAGTTGAAACTTTGGGGGGTGTGTGCACATGCATAGCAAGTGTGGGAGAGTTGCCTGTTTGGTGTGGAGAGCCAGTTTAGTGTAGTGGTTAAGTGTGCAGACTCTAATTTGGGAAAACCGGGTTTGATTCCGCACTCCTCCACTTGCACCTGGCTGGATGACCTTGGGCAAGCCGTAGTTCTGATAAGAGCTGTTCTTGAAAAAGAGCAGTTTTTGTCAAGAGAAGAAGAAGAAGAAGAGATTGGATTTATACCCCGCCCTTCACTTGGAGTCTCAGAGTGGCTTACAAACTCCTTTCCCTTCCCCTCCCCACAACAGACACCCTGTGAGGTGGGCGGGGCTGAGAGAACTCTGACACAAACTGCTCTTTTTCAAGGACAGCTGTGCCAGAGCTTGTGACTGACCCAAGGTCACATCAGCAGGTGCAAGTTGAGGAGTGGGGAATCAAGCCCCCCTTACTGCACAGGGTGTCTGTTGTGGGGAGGGGAAGCGAAAGGAGTTTGTAAGCTGCTCTGAGACTCCTTTGGGTAGTGAAGGGCGGGGTATAAATCCAATCTCTTCTTCTTCTTCTTTTACCTCACAGGGTGTCTGTTGTGGGGAGGGGAAGGGAAAGGAGTTTGTAAGCTGCTCTGAGACACCTTTGGGTAGTGAAAGGCGGGGTATAAATCCAATCTCTTCTTCTTCTTCTGTGCGGATTCATTCTAACAGTTTTGCTGTGCTGGTCCTGGATTCGAATCTTGTTTCTTTGTTGATCTTACTGGGTGGTCTCAGTCAAGCCATTAACACCACGTCTTTAATAAAAGGAGTGTAAAAATGCTGACTACCTCTATCCATGATCATTGCAGCAACCCGGTAGGGCAGAAGTGGAGTTGCCAACAGCCTGGGGGGGAAAGTCCTGAACTTTTAAGAGTGGCTGTGTGGGATGCTATTTACTAGGGGGTATTATTTAACTTAACCCTCTCTTGGATAGCCCCGGCAAGCCCGATCTCGGAAGCTAAGCAGGGTCCATTAGGAGGTCCACCAGCAGGGCCAGAACTCTAGAAGACCTCCCACTGCTGCCCCCCAAGCACCAGGAATAAAGAGCATCACTGCCCCAGACGTAGCATTCCATCTGTTCCTTGTGGCTGATGGCCACTGATGGACCTCTGCTACAGATGTTTATCCAGTCCCCTCTTGACACTGTGGAATGGCCTGCCCAAGGAGGTCAGGAGAGGTCTTGCTCTCTTGGCTTTCTGCAAACTATGCAAAACTGGAGAGGGCTTTCCTGCCCAGATAATATGGTCGCATTATACAGAATGGTTCACAAACTTCCTTGGATGTGATGGAGACTGGGATCTCTGCTGCTTTGTTTAGCTTATTTTAAAACAGGGTTCTATTACGTAACTTTTGTACCACTTAATGTGTCCTGTTAATACTTGTGCTATCCTTCAGTTCCTTCTGGTTGGCTCCAGACTTCTAATATCCTACTGCAGCCCCGGTCACACAGGCCGGATATCGCGCACGTGGGGGGGGGGGGGGGCGGGGGGGGGGGGGGGAGGCGTGGCTAATTGCCCCAGTGCAGTTTGATCTGCGATTACGCGATCAGACGCATCGGTGGCACACCATGGGTCCTTCCCTCGGCGCCAGTGGGTAAGCGAGGGTGGCGATCACACGACGATCCTGCAGCGCGGCAAAGAAGCGGCGTGATCACACCAGCAATGGCTAGGCGCCGCTGCCGTGACAAACGGAGTCATTTATTTTTTTTTAAGCTGAAACGGCACTTTCGCTTTCCTCTTTGTGCGCATGCGCCGTTGGGCGCTTGTGCGCATCTTGTGGAGACTTGGGGGGGGGAACCTGTTTGCGAAGGGACATGGGCGGGCGCCGGATGCCACCATCGGAAATGCGATCAGACGCCAGCCCTTGCCCCGCGGTTTCCGGAAACTAGTACCTCAGAGGTACTAGTTTTTAACTCTGCATCTTCGGCAGGAAGCCTCGGGTTCGCCACGGGAGCTCTACGCTTCCCAGATGTTGCGGTGTGATCGCGCCTGGAAAATCCGCCTATCTTCCGTCTCTGTAGCGTGGCTAATGCTCAGTGTGACCGCAGCCTGCGTTGGCTACTGAATGCCCCGTTTTGTTGATTTTACTGACTCGCTCTGTGTAATCCTCCTTGAGCTCCTGTGAGAAAAGCAGACGGTAAATAACATGCATAAAATAAGTAAAAATAAATCTGCTGAAGTGGGCACTGGTCCCCAAAAGCTAAAACAAAAACAACTGATTTTGTGCTTCAAGGCTCTTCATTAGAAAAGGCTGAAATAAAGGCCTTTGAAAAGCTGCCCAGCAGGTACACTTTCCTCATCCCAGTGTTGACAGATTGGGGGGAAACTTTACCGGTTGGCTTTCTGCTTTTGGGGTAGTGGTTAAAGGCCCAGAAATCCTGCCCCCGAGCTTTGTGTCCTATGTGAAAGAGCAGAGAGCATGCCGCCCGATGAGATACCCCTCCAACAAGATACACTTAAAAAGTAAGTTTCTAGTCCTCATGTTAGTTTTAAAAAAACCTTTGCCTTCACACTGCCTTTATTCCTGCCTGTCATTGGCTTCCTTGCCAAAAGGGAGAGTGGGAAGCCCTTATTTATTTTATATAATATGTTCTGACTGCAGCGACAAACCCTCCCCCCCATTTTTGCAAAGTAGGCCCCATGTAAACGATGATAGCCCTTTAGTTCTGTGATTAAACTTAATGCGGCGGCTTTTCTCCCCCCCTTCTAGAAGTTTTCCCTCAGCAGATGGAAGGGGTCAAGCTGATCATTAATAAAGCCCTCAGCAGCCATTTTCAGGTCTGTGCTCTTGTTACTGTTCTTAATATCTGGCGGGTGAGGGGGGGATTTTGGTAACCATATTGTGGAGAAATTAGCTGATCAGTTAGGCTTTGGTATGGCCTGGTCATTGCGGGGGGACGGGGGACACAGTGAACATTAATTAGGGTTGCCGACTCTGGGTTCGGAAATACCTGGAGATACCTGGAGATTTGGGGGTAGAGTTTGGGGAGGGACAATGCCATGCAGGGCACCTTCCAAAGCAGAAAGGACAAAGAAGAAAAAAGGGAAAAAAACTGAACCTAAACCTAGAATTCAGAACCTAAAAAGTTTAGTCAGGAATAGAAAAGGGCCAACTCTAAAAATCTAATCATAAATATACAAAAATATATATGTGTGTTTATTCAACATAAATTAAAATAACAAACAAAATAAATTAAAATAACAAAATAACAAATAACAAACATAAATTAAAATAACAAACATATAAAACTATCTTATTAGCCCTTGTATGTTTTTATAGTTTTATATGAGGTATGAATGAGCCCTTGTTTGTTATTTTAATTTATGTTGAATAAACACACATATATATTTTTGTATATTTTATGATTAGATTTTTAGAGTTGGCCCTTTTCTATTCCTGACTAAACTCTCACCTTCCAAAGCAGCCATTTTCTCTAGGAGAAGTGTAATAAATGTTTTAAATAATAAGCCATCTGTGTAGTCCAGAGATCAGTTGTGACTCCGGGAGATCTCCTCCAGTCCTTACTTGGAGGATGGCAACGGTAAGGTTAATGGACAGTTTGGTTTTCCCATGTCCCTGTAATGTGTGTCATAATTCCTTGGAGAGAAGGGAAACTAGTTTAGCCAGACGCGGCAAAGAGGTTTCTGCCATCTTCGGGCCTTGCCCGCCTCCGTGCCGCTTTGTTAGTCTTCAGTCAGTATGGGCAGAACAAAGGCTGAACTGTGCGGACGTTGGTCCTCTTGGCCTCTTCTTTACCCTACTCCACGAGGCCCTGAATCTACAGATTCCGGTTCTACTCTCCAAAGTGTGGGGTTTTTTTTGTCTTGTGAATTGTGGCAATGATGGAAAGTGCCGTCAAGAGCCTGTTTGGTGTAGTGGTTAGGAGCGCAGACTCTAATCCGGGAGAACCGGGTTTGATTCCCCACTCCTCCACATGCTGCTGGTGGTGTGGCCTTGGGTCAGTCACAAGTTCTTTCAGAGCTGTTCTGTCAAGGGCAGTCCTCGAGAGAGCTCTCTCGGCCCCACCTACCTCACAGGGTGTCTGTTGTGGGGAGCGGAAGGGAAAGGAGTTTGTAAACCACTTGGAGACTCCTTCGGGTCGTGAAGGGCAGGGTATAAATCCAATCTCTCCTCTTCTTCAAGTTGCAGCCAACTGCAAGATGGGAGAACTAAACAACAACCGCCGTGGAATCATCGCTACTAGCACTTTATTACGTCTTATGGTTTTAGAATTGTTATTTGTATTGATGCTGTTTAATCCTTATTCTATATTATTGTAAGTGTTATGTTGTTTTTAAGTAAGTCTCCCTGAGCCGGCCTAGGCCAGGAGGGCGGGGTAGAAATTTAATAAATCAAATCAAACTTACAGTTGCCCTGTAGGGTTTTGACATTGATTTCCTCAGCGTAGCAGCCCTGGTTTTCCTTGGTGGTCTCCCAGGGGTCATTTCCTGCAGGAACGCATAGGAGCGGAGCTCCAGCAGTAAAGAGCCCAGGGGGCGGGCACATGCAACAAGCCCCCCCCCCTGCTCCCAGCAGCCCTCAGTCAGAGCAAGAAGCAGCCAGGTAAGCTGCAGAGCCCCCCCCCGGTCTAAAACAGTCCAGTGGCACCTTTAAGACCAAGTTTTATTCAGGTACAAGCTCTCCCTCCTCTGTGAGGGCAGATCTGCACGTCCCCCCCCCCAATAGCTAGCAATCCAAAACAGTCCAGTGGAGCCTGAGCGGTGGGTGTTGCCTTCTGACACACTTCTGGTAATGTCAGGGGGTGTGGCATATGCAAATGAGTTATGCTAATGAGTTATGCTAATAAGCTCCTGCACCTACGAAATGACCCCTGTGGTCTCCCATCCAAGTACTGACCGGAGCTGACCCTGCTTAGCTTCTGAGATTGTGCAGTGGTGGTTTGCCATGGCCTGCCTCTGTGTCCAACCCTAGACCTCCTTGACAGTCTCCCATCCAAGTACTAACCAGAGCTGATACTGCTTAGCTTCCAAGACCTTTCTCAGACGTTGAAGAGTGATCATTTTCCTCGGGTAAGGGGCTGCATCTTCTCCAGCCTTTTGCTTCCCACCTTTTAAACTGGTCATCTCTCTCCAGGTGTCCCATACAATCCATATGAGCACAATTGGGCAGTCGAATTACCACCTAAACGCCACCTATGTCGGAGACCAGCAGACCAGCCCCACAGAGGTGAGTGAACCATAGTTTTGCTGTTAGTGGCAGGGCGGGGGAAGAAGTTGAAGAGGGAATTTGGGATACGTTTATTGTGTACCGGGTGCAAACGTCTGGAGGGGGTAGGTGTTGACTTTGCGTCTGTTTGGTGTACATGCCTTTGCACCATCAGCTGGGCTTCACCTGGTATTGGTTTAATGGTTAAAGTCTCGGACGTGGGTTGAGGATTCAGGGTGGACCGGTCCTGCTTAGTTGTTATCTTGGGGTCCCTTTTAATCTTTTACTTGGCATCCTCAGTATATAATCTTTAACTTGTGCTGGAGTAAGAGACGACAACCACAATATTTAGAAAACTAACATCTCATTTTTGTCTTTATTTTATTTTTAATCAACATAGAGAGGACAGTGATCAGCGCTACACAGATTCCTAGCTTGTTTGTGTTTGGGGCACAGTGTACCAGTCTTGGGTTATGGTAAATTGACGGTGGTGTCCATCTGTAATCTGGGAGTCTACCTTCTTCTTGAATTAGAATTCTTCCTCCCCCCCCCCCAACTAGGACAGGGGGACCTGGATTCAAATCCTCACTTAGCCCTCAAGCTCACTGAGTGACTTTAATTCCATCACTCTCTCTCAGCTGTACTTCCTCACAGGATCATTGTAGAAGAAGAAGAGTAGGTTTCTATACCCTGCTTTTCTCTACACTAAGGAGTCTCAAAGCGGCTGACAGTTACCTCTCCCTTTCCCCCACAACAGGCACCTTGTGAGACAGGTGGGGCTGAGAGAGTCCTGAGAGAAATTGTGACTGCCCGAAGTCACCAAGCAGGCCTCATGGGGAGGAGTGGGTAATCAAACCTGGTTCCCCATGAGAGCCAGCTGTGGTGTAGTGGTTAACCATGGCTCAGCCTGGCTTCCATTTCCCAGTTCATTATGCCTTTCTTCGTGCTTCTGACGTAGGCCTTTCCAACCCTCATTGGGGATGTTGACACTGCTGGAAGTCTCAATGCTCAGGCGCTCCTCCTATTGGCAGAGCGGATCCGGACGAAGGCTGTCTTCCAGGTAAGTGCCATGTATGACCTGGCTTGGGTGGGCGGGTATGGATGGGAGGAGCTCCCAAGCAGGGTTGCCAATCTCCAGGTGGAGCCTGGAGATCCCCCCAAATTACTGCTGGTCTCCAGACTACTGGAAATGGCTGCATTGGAGGGTGGGCTCCATAGCATTATACCCTGACCTCCCCAGGCTCCAGCCCCAAAATCTCCAGGAATTTCCCAACCCAGAGTTGGTGACCCTACTCCCAAGGCAGCTTTGTTATTGCTGGTCTGACAATTCATCTGCATTTGTGAGAGGGGCCGTGGCTCAATGGTAGAGTATCCGCTTGGCATGCAGAAGGTCCCAGGTTCAGTCTCATAAGAACATAAGAGACGCCAATGTTGGATCAGGCCAATGGCCCATCTACTCCAACACTCTGTCACACAGTGGCCAAAAATACCAGGTGCCATCAGGAGGTCCATCAGTGGGGCCAGGACACTGGAAGCCCTCCCACTGTTGCCCCCCCCAAGCACCAAGAGTACAGAGCATCCCCTGCCCCAGCCTGTGAGTTCCTATCTATACCTTGTGGCTAATAGCCACTGATGGACCTCTGCTCCATATGTTTCTCCAGTTCCCTCTTGAAGCTGTCCATGCTTGTAGCCGCCACTGCCTCCTGTGGCAGTGAATTCCAAGTGTTAATCACTCTTTGGGTGAAGAAGGACTTCCTTTTATCCATTCTAACCCGACCGCTCAACGATTTCATTGAGTGCCCACGAGTTCTTGTATTGTGAGAAAGGGAGAAAAGTACTTCTTTCTCGACCTGCTCTACCCCATGCATAATCTTATAAACCTCGATCATGTCCCCCCTCAGCTGTCGTTTCTCCAAGCTAAAGAGCCCCAAGCGCTTTAAAGGATCATGTTGGAAAAAAGAAGAGATTGGATTTATATCCTGCCCTTCACTCAGAATCTCAGAGCGGCTTACAAACTCCTTTCCCATCCCCCCCCCCTCCACAACAGACAACCTGTGAGCAATGCTCCCTTTAAGCTGTGGAGTCTTGTGAGCAAAAATTCAACTTTGTGAGCTACTGGCATTAAAGTGGTGAGCCAACGATTTGGCTGCTGCAGAAATTAGTTTGCTCTGGAGCCATCCTTCCTGAGCTAAGACAAAAATGTGTGAGCCGGAGGCTAAAAAACTGTGAGCTAGGCTAGCTCACACTAACTCAGCCTAGAGGGAACACTGCCTGTGAGGTAGGTGGGGTCGAGAGAGCTCTTTCCAGAACTGCCCTTTCAAGGACAGCTCTGACAGAACTATGGCTTGCCCAAGGTCATCCAGCAGCTGCAAATGGAGGAGTGGGGAATCAAACCTGGTTCTCCCAGATTAGAGTCCGTGCACTTAACCACTACACCAAACTGGCTCTCTTGGAGGTGATATGGAGGTGATGGGAAAGACCTCCGCCCGAGTCCTTGGAGAGCCGCTGCCGGTCTGAGTAGACAATACTGACCTTGATGGACCAATGGCCTGATTCAGTGTAAGGCAGCTTCATATATTCATATTCTTCTCTTGGCAAGCCATCAATGGCTAAGAATAAGTAGCGGCGGGGAAGAGGGTGAACCAGCCAGCACCTGGTTCAAATCTCGCCTCCTTCCCTGAACCGGGGTCCTCTCCCCTCCCTCTGTCCATTCCAGACACAGCAGTCCAAATTTATGACTTGGCAGTTTGATACGGAGTACCGGGGCGATGACTACACGGCCACCCTGACACTGGGCAACCCAGATTTGATCAGCGAGTCGGGTGAGTGCAACCATGTGACTGCGGGGGCGGGGTCCCATCTTTTCCTTGCTTCTCCAGCTCACGGCTGTCGACGCTTATAGGGTGCAGGAACTATATGGGTGAGTATGGTAAGGAAGCTGTCCTGCCTGGCTTCTACTGTTGGGGCTTTGGAGGACATCTGTGTGTCCTTTTTAGCGCATGATAGCACCACCACCCCCAATCATGTGTGAGAGCTCTGCAGACGGCCGCTTCTTCGCTCTCTGTGTGACTACAAACCCTGCCGGAATTTCTCAGCCTGTTAGCAAAGGAGCAACCCGGATTTTTGGCAGGGGTGCTGTTGGCCGTGGGGGTGCCGGTCTCATGTAATTCCTGCAACAGATGGCCAGGATTTCACTCTGTGGTGCAAATGAGGGCATCCGCATCCTTGCTGGAAGGGCAGAACGGAAAGCCCACGCCGCATGTCACTTGGCAACCGAAACCCTCAAAAGCCAGGGCCCTGTCACTTGTTCGTTTGTGCTGTGCAGTGGGATAGAGGCCTGGATTGCTTCCCTTGGAGAGTGGGGACAGAACCTCAGGCCCTGTGATTCCCCACATCCATCACCAGAGGGCGAAGGGAGTTCTATAACCCCCTAAAATGGGTCTGTATCCCAGCCTCTGGGTAACCTAGCAACCGTTGCTGCGAACAAGACAGGCGATGAGTAACCTAGCAACTGCCTCTGAAACGGGGTGGATCACCATGACATCTGTGTGGCTTAGAGAAGGATGGAGCATCATGCCTCCAAAGCAGCTTAGCAACTGTCGTGGGGGGAGCACCAGATTCCCCCTTAGCTACTGTGTAATGTACAGCAGTGACACCTTGGGATGAACGGGGGGGGGGTCGTAACCTCTGAGCAGTCTTGGGGGCCATCACTGAAGAGCAGCTGTGGTGACTGGAGAGAGCCAGTTTGGTGTAGTGGTTAGGAGGGGGGACTCTGATTTGGGAGAACCGGGTTTGATTCCCCACTCCTCCACATGCAGCTGCTGGTGTGACTCTGGGTCAGTCACAAGTTCTCTCAGAGCTGTTCTCTCAAGGTCAGTCCTCAAAAGAGCTCCCTCAGCCCCACCTACCTCACAAGGTATCTGTTGTGGGGAGTGGAAGGGAAAGATTGTGAGCCTCTCTGAGTGAAGGGTGGGGTATAAATCCAATCTCTTTCTCTACTACTTCATCAAAGGCTGGCAACCCTTGGGTGCTTCTGGGGGCAGGCCTGGGCGTCGCGCAGTGTCACATGATGTCCCTTCTGGTCGTGGAACCGGAAGTGATGTAACATGTTGGTGGGACTCTCTAGGAACCTGCAAAAATTGCTAGAGCAGGGCCCCCCAACGTGGTGCCCATGGGTACCATAGTGCCTTCTGACACCTCACCTGGTGCCCGTCAATTGTTTTGAGAAAGTGGGTAGGCCCCTATTGGATTGCTTCTGACGGGCCACTAAAAATCTGATTGGCTGTGTGGAATAAAATGTTTCATTTACTCTTCTTTATATTGTTTGTTTTTTTTTAGATTATCCCTTTTCTCCCCTCCACTTGAGTTTCCTCTGTGCGGCCCTGCCTCCTGCAGCAGCCATTTTGTAATTGGCTCTACTTTTTGTGGCAGCCATTTTGTAGTTGCACCTACCAACCCTTTGTCAGAATTCCAAAGGTGCCCTCATGCTCAAGTGTCCCGGCAGCATATGATGTCACTTCCTGTTACGTGACTGGAAGTGATGCTGTGAAGTCACTTTTTCGCCCACATTTCTCCTGGGACTGGGGGTGGAGGTGGAAGGTCTTCTGCTGCAGTAGGAGACCTGATCCCCATATGAAGAAGAGGAGATTGGATTTATACACTACCCTTCACTTGGAAGGAGCGGCTTACAATTTCTTTCCCTTCCTCTCCCCACAACAGACACCCTGTGAGGAAGGTGGGGCTGAGGGAGCTCTGAGAGAACTGCTCTTGAGAGAACAGCTCTGAGAGAACTTGTGACTGACCCAAGGTCACAACAGCAGCTACATGTGGAGGAGTGCGGAATCAAGCCTGGTTCTCCCAGATAAGTGTCCGCGCTCCTAACCACTACACCACCCTGCTCCAGTGTGAGCTACACACAAACCCCAGGCTTTCTGGACCAGTCCTTCAGGGTCCCCAATTTCTTTTCTCTTCTGGGGGAATGTTTGGTGAGCGTTTTGGGAGGGCGGCCGTTTCCTCTCTGCCATTTTGCAACACAGCGATGGTTGCTGTACTGCTCTTAATAGGGTGGGGAAGGGGTCTGCCTCCTTCCTGAACGGCAGACACTGTGTTTCCTTCCCTGCAGTTATTGTCGTTGCGCACTTCCTGCAGAGCATGACCTCACGGCTGGTTCTAGGGGGTGAAATGGTATACCACCGGCGGCCGGGCGAAGAGGGCGCCATCGTCACACTGGCTGGGAAGTATACAGGTTGGTTCCTGTGATGACGTTTTGGGGTCTGAAGTCGAGAAGGGTTCCTCCCCACACTTCCATTTGTATCCCTCATCATGTCTGTGGCTTTGAAAGGGTGATTTCGTGTCAGCAGAGGGGAGCACAAGCTGATTCAAACCTTTGGAAAATGACCACAGTTCAGCCATGTTGGATCGTACCATTTCAGAATGCATAGGGGTGGGGATTGAATGTTTTGAGTAATTTCCTTGTGTTGTAGGCTAGCCTTGAAACCGATCCATGATGAGAGAGGCAGAACAGAAATAGTTATTGTTCTGTTCTTCAACGGATATTGCTTTGTGGACATTGTCTTATAAGTAATTGTCTTATGCACTAATAATCCCTATAATCAGGGGCCATTTCGTAGAAAAAGAGGTGCAGGAGCTCATTAGCATAACTTATTTGCATATGCCGCATCCTCTGACATCACCGGAAGTGTGTCAGGAGGCAACACCCACCGCTCAGGCTTCACTGGACTGTTTTGGATTGCTAGCTATTGGGGGGGGGGGAGTGCAGATCTGTCCTCGCAGAGGAGGGAGAGCTTGTACCACTGGATTGTTTTGGACCAGGGGGCCGTGGCTTTGCAGTTTACCTGGCTGCTTCTTGCTCTGACTGAGGGCTGCTGGGAGCAGGGGGTGGGGCTTGTTGCATGTGCCCGCCCCCTGGGCTCTTTACTGTCGGAGCTCCGCTCCTGTGCGCTCCTGCAGGAAATGACCCCTGCCTATAATATTATTGTGCCCATAAAGCTATAAACAAATTGAAAAAGTCCTTTGGTCCCCCCCCCCCAATAGAGTCCCTTACCGAGCGACACATACCTTTGTTCATCCCATGACACCTCCTGTCCAGCATTCCAATAAAGCAAGAACATTACACTAGGAATAGAAGTCTTTGTTTAAGGAAACTTAGCCTTTTTGTCATGCTAGCCTTCTATGTGCGGGGAGAGTTTTTACAAGAGCAAGTATTCAGAAATGTCACCCCCCCATCCCCCAATCTGCGTAGTATTTTTAAAAAATCCCCGAATGTTTAACTTGTCTTTTAGCTTGCAAAATTAAACAGTTCAGTTCAAACAAATTCCAGTCTGGTGTGCTAAAAATTGCTGTTCAAGAGCCAATTTGGGGAAGGGGGGAGGGAGACCTATAAGTAAAGGTTTCCCTTGCTCGAAAGCCAGTCAAATCCGACTCTAGGGGGTGGTGCTCATCTCCATTTCCAGCGCTGTCCAAAGACGGTTCTGTGGTCATGTGGCCGGCATGACTAAACGCCGAGGCACAAGGAACGCTGTTACCTTCCCACCAAAGTGGTACCTATTTGTCTACTTGCAATTTCTTGCTTTCGAACTGCTAGGTTGGCAGGAGCTGGGACCAGAAACGGGAGCGTCACGCGGCACTAGGGTCTCAAACTGCTGAACTACAGACCTTCCCTGTCTAAATCTCATGTATCTAGAACTCTTTTATCCTGCCCTTTCTCCCAGGAGCTGTGGGTGGTGGTGGTGATTTCTCCCTTCTCCATTTTATCCTCAGAACAGCCCTGTGAGGTAGGCTAGGCTGAGTAATGGTGGCTTGTCCATGGTCACTCAAAGTTATGGCACGGTGGCTTGTATCTCAAACGCTTGTCCAACTCTAGCCGCTACACCAGCACTCCCCCGTGCGATCAATAGTACCCCAACGTATACACGGCTTATATTGCCCCCTCTTCCTCTCCCTGCTGTAGCTCTCAAATGGGTAGCCACGCTTAACCTCGGCTATGGTGGGGCTCATGCCAGTTACTACCATCGAGCCAACGACCAGGTAAGACAAAAATGAGTCTCCACCGCCACCACAACATCCCTGGGACCAAGTACCTGTCCCTTGTGATGCTCTGTATTCTTGGTGCTTGGGGGAGGGGGCAACAGTGGGAGGGGCTTCTAGTGTCCTGGCCCCACTGCTGGACCTCCTGATGGCAGCTGGTATTTTTGGCCACTGTGTGACGGAGTGTTGGACTAGATGGATCGTTGGCCTGATCCAACATTGGCTTCTCTCGTGTTCTTATGTACTTTTTACCTCATTTTTTTCCTTCTTGCAGATTCAGGTGGGGGTAGAATTTGAAGCCAACACACGGCTGCAGGACACAAGCTTTGCTTTTGGTTATCAGCTGACCCTTCCTCAAGCAAGCATGGTGTTCAGAGGTGAGCCAGGAGTCGGGAGTGCTCCAGCCTAGGGAGCCAGTAGGGGGAGAGCCAGTTTGGTGTAGTGGTTAGGAGCGCAGATTCTAATCTGGGAGAACCGGGATTGATTCCCCACTCCTCCACATGCAGCTGCTGGTGTGACCTTGGGTCAGTCACAAGTTCTCTCAGGAGCAGTCCTCAAAAGAGCTCCCTTAGCCCCACAGGGTGTCTGTTGTGGGGAGGGGAAGGGAAAGGAGATTGTAAGCCGCTCTGAGACTCCTTCGGGTAGTGAAGGGGTGGGGAGGGGAAGGGAAAGGAGATTGTAAGCCGCTCTGAGACTCCTTCGGGTAGTGAAGGGTGGGGTATAAATCCGATCTCTCCTTCTTCTCTTCTCTTAATACTTCCAACAAGACTGTGCTTTCTAGCGTGCTAGTCTTCATGTGTTGTCTGTTCTGGATGCTAGTGTGCTGTTTATATATGACAGAGGGGGCCGTTAGTGTTTGTGGTTGTCTCTCAACTTGTTTTAGATAGCTGCTGGAGGTGGAATTGGTAATTCTTGGGGGGGGGGTAAGGCTTGTGGTAGGGTTTCCAGGTCCCTCCTGGTAGCTGGCAGAGGGTAGAAGGGACTTATTGGCAGGGGGTGGGAGGCCTAGGCCGCCATCAAAGCGATGTCACTTCCTGTACACACCAGAAGTGATGTCATTGTGTTGCTGGCAATGCAGGATGCTCTGGTATTTGAGCAAAATTCTATGGTAGGTGCCTTTTTCACCTTAGTTTTTGCCCAAATACTTGGGCATTCCATCTCGCTTCCGGTGCACTCTGGAATGGATGTCGGCGTGTCACCGGTAATTCCTGTGATTTATGGCTGCTGTATTTTATAGTTAATAAGAATACAAATGGTGCTTGCCTATTACATAGATAATAGAAAAAATATCACAGCTAATAATATGATGCTGTATCACAAAATTTAGAAAAGTCACATCCTGGTGATGTTCTCCCATCCTTGTGATATCACCAGCGTGTTTAGAGAAAGTTTTGCTGGCAAGTATTAGAGCAGAAGGCTTTGTACCTGGTTAAGGAAACGTTAATGGACTGGCTTGCTCCTTGCATAAAAGTTCAGCTGTGAATAAAAGGGATAGTTTCTGAGGAAAATCTACGATGAATAACTTCTGAGGAAGATCAGCTATGAAACTGGCTTACATATAGATGCTCGTCGGTGCACTACAAGTTATTACAGAAGCCGTTCTACAATATCACAGAGATGGTACTTTTCTAAATTTTGTGATAACAGGAACACGTTATTCGTTGTGATATTTTTCTGTTATCTATGTGTCCGCGCCGGGCTCTTTCATGATGCCGGGAGGTGGACAGGCCGGGGAAGCGCATGTCCCCAACCCGCTCCCTCAGTGACAGCCCAGACGCAGGGAGCACTCAGGAGAGAGGGAGCGGTCCGGCGCAAAAATCGCTCCTCGTACCAAAGAGGGGCGAGCCTGGGTGAAAGAAAGAGGAGAGCGGAGGGTCCTTGCTTTACCTCACACTCCTAGAATGGGAGAAGTCCAGGCACCGGTTACGGCATACAGAGCGGAAGCGGGCACTCCCCCTTCCCGCACAACACCACGGGGATTTAAAAGGTGGTGGGATCAAAAAGGGGAAACCCTCAGGGATTGGGAAAACACGGGGACCACGGAGAGTGGTAGCTGAAAGAGCCTATGGGCGGGGAGGGTGGGGAGGAGGATAAAAGAGAGGAAACGGGATGCACCGGGGAGGAGTTCAGATAATCGCATAGCTAAGCCAGAGAGAAAGCGAAGAGGCGATTAATCTGAGAACGGGGTCTGGCGTGTGGAGCAACACCCAGCCCGTTCATATCTGAGGTGTTTGTTTCCTTGAAGATCCTCCTCCCAACACGGCGACAGGCTTTACAGGGTCCGGGGGCAACCCGGAACACGACACTATGTAATATGCAAGGACCATTTGTCGTTTTATTAACTATAAAATACAGTAGCCGTACATCACAGTGATGGCTTGTTATTAGGTTTTTACACTGTGATCCCTGTTTGCTTTTCTGTCATGTTGCTGGTGACATCACTGCGACGCTGGCTTTGGCCTTCTGCTGGAAAGTTCCCCCACTAGTCAGTGATTGGCAGCTGGGGTTTGGGGACCCCCCACCCCAGTGTGGGCGTGGCAGCCCTGTTTTGGTGGCTGTCCTTAAAAGTTCCCATACTTGTCTCTAATCAGAATTTTGAGCACTGAAAAGGAGCTGGGTATATTGCTTGTGATATAGTGCAGTCTCTTTTGGTTCCCCGAATGCTTTTCCTTCAGCACTTGCCAGCGGAAGGAAAACCATGTTGGGGCGTCGATAGCCAAAGTGGGGTGAGGTTTCCGTACCACTTCAGCAGAGGCGGCCATCTTCTTCCTGACAGCCTGAGCCAGTTTGGTGTAGTGGTTAAGTGTGCGGACTCTAATCTGGGAGAACCGGGTTTGATTCCCCACTCCTCCACTTACACCTGCTGATGTGACCTTGGGTCAGTCACAAGCTCTGGCACAGCTGTTCCTGAAAGAGCAGTTTGTGTCAGAGCTCTCTCAGCCCCACCCACCTCACAGGGTGTCTGTTGTGGGGAGGGGAAGGGAAAGGAGTTTGTAAGCCGCTCTGAGACTCCCAAGTGAAGGGCGGGGTATAAATCCAATCTCTTCTTCTCTTCTTCTTCTGAGTGTGGACCTTCTTCTGAGGCCAAGTTTCCCTTCAAAGCTCCTTGACGGAGGGTAGAAAAACAGGCTGGATTGTCGGGAAATGGTGCTGGCTTGGGTTTTGGCTGAGAGCTTGGGGGGGTGAGGGGAGAAGGTTGGTGCGTCTCCTGAGCTGCTTAAACGGTTCTTTTCTTCTCGAGGCTTCTTGGATAGCAACTGGTGTGTGGGGGCCGTTCTGGAGAAGAAGCTGCCCCCTCTGCCCGTCACCCTGGCCTTGGGCACCTTCCTCAACCACTGGAAGAATCGGTTCCACTGCGGCTTCAGCATCATCGTGGGCTGAGGGCTCTTGGGACTCGTCTCGGCCGAGAGAGATGCCGTCAGGTTTAAATTTTTTTTGCGAAACTGTGTGGCACGATTGGCCCAGCTGCGTGTGAGGGCGACGGGCTGGCTCACCACGGACTTTGGCACGCATGGTGGCGATTTTGGCCTTGCCACGCCGGAACAGGGTTCTCTGACCGGCCTACGGAAAGCTGGCGGCTGCTCGGAGAGATGTCAGAAAGCGGTCGCGGATCGCCCTCGTCCCGATCTGCGAGGTACGGACTTTGTGGTGGGAGGCAGAACCTGGTCGTCCTGCCTGCCTTATGGACGGATGCCTTCCTGCCTTCGTTTGCTGTGGTTCGGCAGATGCCGATCTCATGGAGTTGACATTATTGCTATGTTGGACCGGTGCCAGGGTTTGGAAGTCGGGAGAGAGGCTGTTTATCTCCCATCCTGGCACGCTACAATTGGTTTGTGGGTGCTGTGTACCCCCCTTTCCCCTGACAGTTGGAATGGCTGCTGATTCTGTGTATGATGACTTGGAAACCTGATTAAAATCATACCGGAGACCGCTCCTCCCCTCCTCAAAGGACGTCTCGCTCGCAGTCATTTTTGAAACACTGTAGCCACCTTGCCAAAAATTGGTTTTACTGGTAGCCGTTTTCTAATACGTGGAAGTCACTGGCTTGCACAACTCCTGCCCTCCCCTCCAAAGTTTCTGGCTGGCAACTCCTCCATTCTGGAAATAATAATTATATGGAATTGAGGTAATTTGGTGTAGAGGTTAAGAGCGGCGGACTGTAATCTGCAGAACTGGGTTTGATTCCCCACTTCTGCAGATGCAGCCAGCTTGGGTAACCTTGGGCCCGTCACGGTTCTCTCAGAATTGTTCTCTCAAGGGCAGTTCTCGAGAGAGCTCTCTCAGCCCCGCCTACCTCACAGGGTGTCTGTTGTGGGGAGGGGAAGGGGAAGGAGAGGAGATTGTAAGCTGCTCTGAGACTCCGAGTGAAGGGCGGGATAGAAATCAAATCGCTTCTTCTTCATTGTGTGTAGGATAGTCAGGAGATCCTAGGATTGTCTGGCAGCAAGAAGTTCTTGCTCTTAGCGTTGTGCTAGTGACGAGCTAGACTTGTTTTTTTTTAGGGCCTGAGAGAGCTCTGGAAGAACTGTGGCTGGCCCAAGGTAATTCAGCTGGCTTCATGTGCAAGAGTGGGGAATTGAACCCAGTTCTCCAAGTGTCTGCCACTCTTAACCACTACACCAAATTGGCTCTCTGGTGAGGCTGAAGTTATGTGATCAGAGGCACTTTATTGCTTTTCATGTATCTCGGGACTGAACGCTGTAGCACTGAAAATGCTCTGAAAATTGACTGTGCTGGTGTTTTGGCAAATCTCGGCTTAAAATTAAGGATGGTTGAATAATCACTGGTTCCACTTACGTCCTGGGTGCCAGGCAGCTGATCTGTCACCAGGCTGTTGGGCTATTAGTGGCCATTTTGTGCCTTTCTGCAATGAAGAGGTTGCATCCCAGCTCTGCAGGGATACAATCGGAAGATGACTCCCTGCCAGTCGGGGATGGGGATCGGCTGGGAGTCCTCTTCTGCTCTGCAACAAGCAGACTGTATTTCAGCTTTGCATGGACATGATCAGAAGAGCACTCCCTGCTGACTGGGGATGGGGATTGGGTGGGAATTGAAATTAAATCAAAAGAGTTTTTGGAGGAAGAACTTCCTGATGGTTAGAGTGGTTCCTCAGTGAAACAGGTTTCCTCAGGAGGTGGTGGGCTCTTCTTCTTTGGAGGTTTTCAAGCAGAGGCTAGATTGCCATCTGTCAGCAATGCTGATTCTGTGTACTTAGGCAGACCACAAGAAGGGAGGGCAGGAAGGGTTGCATCAGGACTTAGTTCTCGTGGCCCTTTCTTACACGCCTAGGGAAATGCTGATTGCCACTTTGGGGTCAGGAAGCAGTTTTTCTCAGGGCCAGTTTGGCCGGGGATCCTGGAGGTTCTTTGTCATCTTCTGGCATGGAACGGGTCACTGGGGTTGTGAGGGGGGGGAGGTATTTGTGAATTTCCTGCATTGTGCAGGGGGTTGGACTAGATGACCCTGGAGGTCTCTTCCAACTCTATGGTTCTGTGGTTCTGCTCTCCCACTCTGGGAAAACTCTGCTGCTGCCCTAGCCTTGCTGAAAGGAAGTGATGCTTCCTGGTGGCGTTGAGAGTGGAGAATCAGAAATCAACTTCAAGCTTTTTCTAGCTATGAATCGGCTTCTGACCTTTGGAACAGCTGGTGGAACTTGTGCTCAGGCTCCACGGCTAGGCCCTGGAAATGTAGCAGCAGACCCCTGGCCTATGATTCCTGGTTTTAAAATGTGCAAAATTACGTGCCACTTGGCTTCCAGTACCTTGAACTGTAGAGGAGTATAGAAGAGAAGACTTAAAATTGAGGGCTAGTAGGGGTAAAAAATCCAGGATTTAGGGGTAGGGAAGGATCAAGGCGTGTCTGCAACAGGAAGAGAGGTAACATAAGAGACGCCAATGTTGGATCAGGCCAAAGGCCCCTCCAGTCCAACACTCTGTGTCACACAGTGGCCAGAAATACCAGCTGCCATCAGGAGGTCCACCAGTGGGGCCAGGACATTAGAAGCCCTCCCACTGTTGACCCCCCCCCCAAGCACCAAGAAGACAGAGCATCACTTGCCCCAGAGTCCCTATCTATATCTTGTGGTTTATAGCCACTGATGGACCTCTGCTCCATATGCCTATCTAATTCCCTTTTGAAGCCGTCCATGCTTGTAGCCGCCACCACCAGTGTTCCCTCTAAGCTGAGTTAGTGTGAGCTAGCTCAGAGTTTTTTAGCCTCCAGCGCACACATTTTTTGTCTTAGCTCAGGAAGGATGGCTCCCGAGCAAACTAATTTACGCAGTATCCAAATCGCTCGCTCATGACTTTAATGATAGGAGCTCACAAAGTAGAATTTTTGCTCACAGGACTCCACAGCTTAGAGGGAACATTGGCCACCGCCTCCTGTGGCCGTGAATTCCATGTGTGGATCATTCTTTTGGGTGAAGAAGGACTTCCTTTTATCCGTTCTAACCCGACCGCTCAGCAGTTTCATGGAGTGCCCACGAGAGAGGCTGCAGAAGTGGGAAAATTCGTCTTTTAAAGTGCTGTGATGGTGGTGAAAAGAACTCATTGCCGCCTCTTCGAAGAACAGCCTTCACAAAATACCACAGCCAGGAGGGTTTGCCAGCTGCAGGCTGGGAAATTTCTGGAGATTTGGGATTGGAGTCTAGGGAAGGGAAGGGCCATCAGCAGGGTATAATGCTGAGAGAGCCCTTTTCTTCAGGGGAACTGATCTTTGTCTCCCCGGCCTACCTGGAGGCCAGAAGCCCTACTACCAAGTCTCCTGTGGTTCCTGAATGCAAAGAAAATGGCTCTCTGTGTTGAACTGGAACAGCATCCACTCTTTAGTCGAAAAAATTATTGGTGACCCTGAGCACAAAGGAAATTTGATGGATCTAGGTATGGGGAGTTAGGGAGAGGGATGGAAAGAGGGATGTTCGGCCTTGTCCTCCGTTTGCATGTGGTAGCGGAGTCTTGTGGTTGCTTAGCAACGCTGCCCTGGTTCTGATCACTGAGGCCTGAGCAAAACCCCACTGACAATAATTTACTTCTGAGGCTGGGGGGGATAAGGAGTCCGGGTGCTTGGAGCAAGCCAGCTGTCTGAGAGCCACTTTGGTGTAGTGGTTAGGAGCACGGACTCTAATCTGGGAGAACCGGGTTTGATTTCTCACTCCTCCACATGCAGTTACAGGTTCCCCACTCCTCCACATGGGTCAGTCACAGGTTGATTCAGAACTGTTCTCTCACAAGCAGTTCTGGAAAGATCCCTCACAGCCCCACCTACCTCACATGGTAACTGCTGTGGGGAGGGGGAAGAGGAGGAGATGGGATTTATACCCTGCCCTTCACTCAGAGTCTCAGAGCGGCTGACAAACTCCTTTCCCTTCCCCTCCCCACAGCAGACACCCTGTGAGGTAGGTGGGCTGAGAGAGCTCTTTCCAGAACTGTCCCTGAGAGAACAGCTCTGACAAAACTATGGCTTGCCAAAGGTCATCCAGCAGCTGCAAGTGGGGATGGGAAAGGAGATTGTAAGCCACTCTGAGACTCTTTCCAGTAGTGACGTCTCTGAAGTTTGAAGGGGAGTTAGTCTAGCATACTTCCCAGTCCCTTCTTCTTCTGCACAACTGTTGGAGGACAAATTGGTGTTGGAGAAGTAAGATTAGAAAGTCTCCCCATGCAAACGGGGGATATGTGCTCATTCCACACTAGGTACCTGCCATTACAGGAAGCAGCTTAATTTTTCCCCTTAGCTGTGTTGTTCATGGTGTTAGCCATGTCCATAAGCATATGGAGCAGAGGTCCATCAGTGGCTATTAGCCACAAGGTATAGATAGGGGCTCTGGGGCCAGTGATGCTCTGTCTTCTTGGTGCTTGGGGAGGCCAACAGTGGGAGGGCTTCTAATGTCCTGGCCCCACTGGTGGACCTCCTGATGGCACTGGTATTTCTGGCCACTGTGTGATACAGAGTGTTGGACTGGATGGGCCTTTGGCCTGATCCAACATTGGCGTCTCTTATGTTCTTATGTTCTGCATCAGAACAGCTAGATTTGAATCGAGTAGCGTCTTAGAGACCAACGAGGTTTTCATGTGCAGTAGAACAGCTAAATTGGAATCAAGTAGCACCTTAGAAACCAACAAGTGTATAGGGGTATGGGCTTTTAGATTTTGGGAATCATTGCTCTTGTATCTGACAGAGCAAGCTTTGACTCTCCAAAGCTCCTACCCTGAAAATCTTGCTGATCTCAAAGGCGCTTCTGGACTGGAATCTATATTTTTTTAATTGAACATTTGATCCTATTATCCTATACAAGCTCGCCAAAGTGGTGAACAACACTAGCCTTAAGCTATCCTGGGTCCCCGGTCCAAATGTGCTGGTGCTTTTGCAGTGACTACTAGACTCACGTCACTGTTTAAAAGAGAGTTCTCTTGATGGTGGTTAAGTCGTTGGTGAAGTAGAACCTCCATGGGCAGGAGCAGGGTACCTTTGAAGACCTGAAGGGAGGTAATGGGGCGGGGACTGTTGTCTTCCCGCCCTTCGCAGAGAAATCAAGCTGGTTGCCCGTGGCTGTGAAACAGAACGCTGGCTGGTACGTGGACATTTCGTCCGATTCAACGAATCTCCCGTTCCTTCAGTGCCTTTGGCCAGAGGCAGAAATTGCACCGGAACAGCCGAACTGTATTTTTTAAAGTGGGGGGGGGGGGGTGGGGGGGGGGGGGGGTTGGGGCGGGGGAGGGCATCCCCTTCCAGGTGTGGATTTGCAGAGCAGCCTAAATTGCTTCTGTGCTCAGGCTGGCGATTCCTGCGTAGCAAATCCCATCAAACAGACACTTAATCATGTTTTCCCAGGAGTTGCCCAGAGGCATGCTGGGGTGGCGGCGTGGGAGGGTGCCGTTTTGGTGAAATGCAGAGACAGCAGTTTGAAGGGGAGTTAGTCTAGCACGCTTTGAAGCCTGCTGTGTTTTCTCACCCCTGCTGATTATGTTTCCCCGTTAGCCCTCTCCGTCCTCCTCGGTTTGTCGATTTTTACATAGGCACGCCCTATTCTCCCTTCCCTAACCAAACTGTCTTCTGGTTTGCAAAGGTGGCCATGAACTTGTCACTGGTATAGGGGAGGGGGCATAGTGGGCTGTGCTTCAGTGACCTCGAAAACCTAAGAGGGCTTAAGAGACAGAGCCTGGGCAGCTTAGAAGGGATCAGTGGTTCAGACTGGGCTGGATCATATGACACCAGCTAAGCTGGGATCAGCTGGGGGGGGTGGGGGGGTGGAGTGTGTGGACAGGATTGGCTGCTATTGGATCAATGGAGGATTAGACGGCTGCAGGGGGAATATCGGGCTCAGAACAGACAGAGGCAAGAGGTTCTGGATCCGCTGTGGCTCAAATTGATAGAGATGAGGGTGCCCCGTTTTGCAAAAGATCTCTAGTTCTTGGATTTTACAATCACAGGATGTGTCTTGTCAAGAAGTTCCAGATCCAGCGTTGCTCAAAGTGGTAGGGATAAGGGTGCCCCGTTTTGCGGAAGATCTCTGGTTCTTGGATTTTAAAATCGGAGGATTCAGTCCTAGCCAAGATTTCCCAGGGAAGGTGTCCCCTTTTCAGTCTCGGTGTCTCTCAAAGTGGTGGGCATCCTCGGCACGAGGAGTCAATATCCGCCTTCCCAGTCTCAGCTGATGATCTCCGACAACAACGGCGTCATGGAGGTAAAATCCTGGTCGATGTGGAGGATCTGCCGGGTGTTCTCCACCTTCAGTGACCGCAGCTCCGTCAACAGCAAGAGAAGCTTGGCGTAGAGAAACCTGGGCGGAGAGGAGAGAGGAGGGGCCGGGGTCAGAGCTTCCTGCCCCGGAGCCTGGTCCAACACACTAACTGCTGCACCACACTGTCTCTTCTGCACACAGGAGTTAACATATCCAATCAACTATATCAAACTTGACAACTAGTGGAAGAATGTAATTTACAGATAAGGAAAAGTAAAAATTTACCCATACCCATTGTGGCGTCCTCGCTTATTGGGGAGACTGTTTCTCCTTCAAAACACACTCTGTGTACATGAACTTAATAGATTTCTGCTACCACCAGGAATTAAAAATTCCAAATCTCTCTATTTTGGTAGAATGACCCAGTGCCTGGGCACTTCAGAGGACTATGTGGTCCTGAGGAAGGACTGTCCTGATTGCTGGGATAAGTTTAAACAAATAATGATAAAAGAACAAAATAGGTTTCTGGGAATTTTTGAACTGTTGTTGAAAAAAGAACATGTAACTGACAAAGCTTGGCGTCACACAGTCTCTCATACACCAAAACTCCACTCTGACAGGTTGAGACACTCAGGCTAAACTCTCTTTCTCATGTAGCCACACAGGCTAAACTCTGCCTTTTTTAGCCACACAGGCTAAACTCTCATATAGCCACACAGACTAAACTCCAACTGCTTCCTCTGTTATACAGACTCTCACACAAACTCTCCACACTCGTCTCTTCATGAACACTGAATCACCCCAGAGACATCTCTCTTCCCACACCCTCAGCCATCAGCCAATCACACCTCCCACCATCACTCTCCCCACACCACTGCAGTCACACTAAACATTCAAAGAAACACGCACCAAAACAAGAAATCATTACACCCATGCTTTCTTAGGGCCTGATCTGACCCACCTCCCTGAGAGGAGGCGCTGTGTGGCTCAGTGTCAAAGCAGAAGGGTCCCAGGTTCAATCCATGGCATCTCTAGCTAAAAGGGTAAGGTGGTCGGTGATGTGGAAGACCTCTCTGCTTGAGAACCCAGAGAGCCCCTGCCAGTCTGAGTTGACAGTACTGACCTCGATGGACCAAGGGTCTGATTCAGTGTAAGGTAGCTTCATGTGTATTACAGCTCTGCTAACACAATCAGTTCTCTCTACCATGACCTGGATGGCCACATCTAGCCCAATATTATCAGATCTTGGAAGCAAAGCAGGGTCGGCCCTGTTTCGTACTTGGAAGGGAGACCATAAGTGAAGTCGAGGGTTGCTGTGCAGAGGCAGGCAATGGCAACCCACCTCTGTTCGTTTCTTGTCCTAAAACCCCACAAGTGGTTGTGACTTAATAATACGTTCTATACACATGCAATAGTCTCTCCGCCCCTTCCAATGTCTCCTTAAAACCCCAGATGAAAGCAATAATGGAGTGCTTGCATCTGCAGTGCACTTAAATTTCACATGTTCCAACTGTGTTCCAGGTTTTCTGGAATTTGTCCCTCCTAAATTACTCTTCCTGTCTTAGGTGTTTTCTTTTTTCATTTGGAGGAAGAAGAGATTGGATTTATACCCCATGGCCCTTCACTACCTGAAGGAGTCTCAGAGTGGCTTACAATCTCCTTTCTCTTCCCTTCCCCACAACAGACACCCTGTGAGGTAGGTGGGGGCTGAGAGAGCTCTCTTGAGAACAGCTCTGAAGGAACTTGTGACTGACCCAAGGTCACACCAGCAGCTGCACGTGGAGGCGTGGGTAATCAAACCCGGTTCTCCCAGATTAGAGTCCGCGCTCCGAACCACTACACCAAACTGGCTCTCAAGAATGCCTTACTGAATGTTATTGCTGTGACCTGCTGGACGCATCAAGATTCCACTCTCTTGCCAAACGCTCTAGAAATTAACAGGGCCATCCCAAGCAGAATTTCACCCTATGAATCCCATGGATGTCAACTGGCTGGGAAGGTTGTAGCTCTGCTTAGAATGGCTGTGTCAATGTCACAGTGGCCGTGGTGGACTCCCATGCAAACACTAACCAGGGCCGACTGGCTGTCTTTCTCTTATCCGCATGTCCCTGCAAACCTATGAACACTTAAGGCATGCTGAAGCTCACTGTGAACTGTTGATAACAGCCTGTAAGTCAACGACATCTCTCTGGCACGTTAGGGAGGGGCTGTGGCTCAGTGGTAGAACATCTGCTTGACATGCGGGAAGTCCCAGGTTCAATCCCTGGCATCTCCAGTTAAAAGGACCAGGCAGTAGGGGATGGGAAAGACCTCTGCCTGAGACCCTGGAGAGCTGCTGCCAGTCTGAGTAGGCAATATTCACTGTGATGGACCAAGGGTCTGACCATCCACTATGAGGGAGGTTCATGTGTTCCCAGCAGCTACCTTGTCTTTAAAACAAAGCAGGTCTGGTTACTGCAGAGTCAATGCACACACAGCAAGTGAATACAGGAAAACACATGAAGGTGCCTTGTACTGAAATGGTCCATCAGAGTCAGTACTGTCCACTCAGACTGGCAGCAGGTCTCCAGGGTCTCAGGCAGAGGTCTTTCCTGCTACTTGATCCTTATTGAGATATATGTCTAGGTGATTGAGGTAGCAAGCAGTTACTAGATCAGTTTGATCTGTTTGACAGTCCTAGCTGTCATGCTAGTGATTAAGTGATTACAGCCAGGTGTTATACTAGCAGGTGTTCTCTATCAGGCATTGTTAGAGTAGGTAATTAATTCACCTTGTTAGTGATTGGCTGGGTTTAGTATATTAGCTATCAGCTTGATAAGCTAGGTGGGGACCTAGTCTTTCAAGTGAAGGCATGGTATGCTGTATGATAGCCTGTATATCTCTGTGTATATATTCACCATTATATCTATATAAACTTTCTATGCACCTTCATCACCAGTCGGTCTCCAGCTTCTTATTTACTACACCCAATAATCCTTTTAGGTGGAGATGGTGGGGATTGAACCTGGGACCTTCTGTTTGCCAGGCAGATGCTCTGCCACTGAGCCACGGCCCCTCCTCATGGAATACAGTTTCCAGTGACAGACCAACTGCTGTGTGAACCGTCTCAGCAAGCAAGGTAGCTGCTGTGTACTCACCTGCCTTCAGGCAAAGGGTGTCGCTGGTCGATGTAGTTTTTCAGCGTGAGGGCAATTTGCTCTTGAGTCCGGTCGATCTCATCTCGCTGCACGACGTTCACATTGTCTGCAAAGGGGCAGGGCTTGAGCGACGGAAGGGAAAGGAGAGGCGGAGCAGAAAAGCTGTGGGTCGGGCCTGACCCTGAGGGGGCACAGACAACCCGTGTGGTGTAGTGGTTGGCATATCGGACCTGGAGAAATCACTAAAGCTTTTTGAGCCTATTTGGAATTCGAACAGGGAACAGTGGGTGCGGCAACAAGATGGCTGCCGCAGGAGGTGGAGCCAGCCACAAACGGATTGCCACAGCCTAACTGCAGAAATCAGGGGTGTCGAACTCATTTGTTAGGAGGGCTGGAGCCGACATAAATGAGACCTTGTTGGGCCGGGCCATGTGTGTCATAAAAGGTAGCGCCAGGTAGCAGAAGATATAAACTTTATAAAAGGACACACAAACACATTTAAAGATTTTTTTAAACTTTAAATAACACATTTCCAGTGAGTTCAACACCCCTGGTGTAGATTCGTGTGCTGTGCTGGCAGCTGCCGCCAAAGCAAAATTTTTTTTTTTTTTTAAATCTACACAGCCAGTCCAATCTCCAGTGGCCAATCAGATGCCTTGCGGGGCAAAACTTCCTAAAAATACGTTGTGGTGGGCACCAAAAAAGGTGTCAGCAGCTGCCGTGGCTCCCATGGGCAGGGGTAATTTCGTAGAAAAAGAGGTGCAGGAGCTCATTATCATAACTCATTATCATAACTTATTTGCATATGCCACACCCCCTGACATCACCGGAAATGTGTCAGAAGGCAACACCCACTGCTCAGGCTCCACTGGACTGTTTTGGATTGCTAGCTATTGGGGGGAGACACACATGCAGATCTGTCCTCACAGAGGAGGGAGAGCTTGTACCTGAATAAAACTTGGTCTTAAAGGTGCCACTGGACTGTTTTGGGCCGGGGGGGAGCTCTGCAGCTTACCTGGCTGCTTCTTGCTCTGACTGAGGGCTGCTGGGAGCAGGGGGCGGGGCTTGTTGCATGTGCCCGCCCCCTGGGCTCTTTACTGCCGGAGCTCCGCTCCTGTGCGCTCCTGCAGGAAATGACCCCTGCCCATGGGCACCATGTTGGGGACCCCGGGACTAGGATATGGGAAACCCAGGTTCAAACCCCCACTCTGCCGTGGAAACTCACCGGGTGGTCTTGGGCCAGAGGGGGGTCTTACCTGGGTAGAACAGCACCAAGGCTTGTAGCAGGACGTATTCGGCCTCGTGCAGCCTCAGCTTCTTCAGGCTAATGTGAAATTTCAGCAGCGGCTCTAAGTAGATCTGCTGGAACCCAACTGGAAGAGAGGGGGATCAGGTGGCCAAGTGAGCGGTACGTGTGGCTGGTGGGGTTCAGTGCTTGCGCAGCCGGAATAAATGGTTATTTCTATTAGCAGGTGGCGTGAAAGGCCTCTGTCTGAGACCCTGGAAAGCGGCTGCCGGTCTGAGTAGACAGTACTGGCCGTGATGGACCAAGGGTCTGATTGAGTAGAAGGCAGCTTCATGAGTGGTTAGGGAGGGGTTGTGGTTCAGTGGGAGGGTATCACCTTGGCATGCAGAAGGTCCTAAGTTCAGTCCCCGGCGTCTCCAGCTGAAAGGACCCGGCAGTAGGTGACATGAAAGACCTCCAAGACCCTGGAGAGCAGCTGCCGGCCTGAGCAGACAATACTGGCCTCGATGGACCGAAGGTCTGATTCCGCAGAAGGCAGTTCCATGTAAGAAACATGGCTCAAGAGAAGCCGTTGAAGGCCTCCAAACTGGGATCTCTGGTGTTCTTTGACGAAATAAGTACCTTTTCCTGGCCACACGAGGGCACATTTCCACAACAGATCCACGGCCAGACTGCCACTCTTCTTGACCTGTGGTGTGAACCTTATAACTGTGACCGGTTCTGGAAGGTGGCAGGGTCAGACCTTGCTCCTCGGAGCCCTACTCTGGGGCCGCCCCCCGGGGCGGAAACAGGGAATGGGGGGGGGGGGGGATATTGTTCACAGTGTAACGCATCCTGCTGTTGCCATGTGGGGGCGGAGGACTGCTGATGAGCAAAATAACCGTGGGTGTTCAAGAAGAAAAGCATTATCCCTAAAGCAGGGAATTGTGTGAATTATTGTTAAATAAGAACCATAGTTCTGCATCTCCTGTCTGGCCATGGTCCAGGGTGAGAATGAGAGGGTTATTACTACGATCATCAGGATAATCATGATCATCATTTAAATTTATAAATCACCCTCCCTCCCCCAGAGGGCTCAGGGCAGTGTACATCATGCATTAAACATGAACAGCTGAAAACAATAAGTGGAAAATAATAAATGGTTAAAGCAGATAAAAAGGTAAAGGTAAAGGTTCCCTTGCTCGAAAGCCAGACGAGTCCAACTCTAGGGTGCAGTGCTCATCTCCGTTTCAAAGCCGAAGAGCCAGCACTGTCCGAAGACATTTCCGTGGTCATGTAGCTGGCATGACTAAACACAAAGGTGCACGGAACGCTATTACCTTCCCACCGAAGTGGTACCTATTTATCTACTTGCAATTTCTTGCTTTCGAACTGCTGGGTTGGCAGGAGCTGGAACTAGAGACGGGAGCTCACTCCGTCATGCGGCACACTCGGGTCTCGAACTGCTGAACTACCGACCTTCCACAGCCTGCAGTTCAGCGTCTTAACCACTTGAGCAGTGGAAATTGCTCCAGATAATAGGTGTAGCGTACCTATAACTTTGCTCTCTCCAAAGGTGGATCACATGCTGGGAGTAGTAAGTACCATGGAAGCCATGGTAAAGAACCGATGCCGTTCTCCCCTGTGCCATTTTCCTGGTCTAACATACCCCCTTATCAAGCTGCTGTTACCCCCCTAATGGAGGACAGCAACATATGGGGAAGAGGTAAATGTCCCCTTCCCTGTGGAGTGATCCTAATCCAAATCATGGAGCTACAGCTTTCTTTGGTAACAACGAAAGAAAAAAAAGACCTTTTGCAGATCCAGCCAGAGGAAGGGAATTGAAAACAAATCAGCCAGTCTCATGATGCCCCTGGATAAATCGATGGTGCGACCTCATTTGGAGTACTGCATGCAATTCTGGTCACCACCCCTCAGAAAGGGTATTATAGCATTGGGAAAAGTGCAGAAAAGGGCAACTAGAATGATATAAGGCTTGGAACGACGGCTGAGGGGGGAAGAGACGTCAATGTTGGATCAGGCCAAAGGCCCATCCAGTCCAACACCCTGTCACACAGTGGCCAGAAATACCAGCGCCATCAGGAGGTCCACCAGTGGGGCCAGGACATTAGAACCCCTCCCACTGTTGACCCCCCCCCAAGCACCAAGAAGACAGAGCATCACTTGCCCCAGAGCCCCTATCTAAACCTTGTGGCTAATAGCCACTGATGGACCTCTGCTCCATATGCTTATCTAATTCCCTTTTGAAGCCATCCATGCTTGTAGCCGCCACCACTTCCTGTGGCAGTGAATTCCAAGTGTTAATCACTCTTTGGGTGAAGAAGTACTTCCTTTTATCCGTTCTAACCCGACCGCTCAGCAATTTCATGGAGTGCCCACGGGTTCTTGTATTGTGAGAAAGGGAGAAAAGTACCTCTTTCTTTACCTGCTCTTTCCCATGCATAATCTTATAAACCTCGATCATGTCACCCCTCAGTCGTCTTTTCTCCAAGCTAAAGAGCCCTAAGCGCTTTAACCTTTCCTCATAGGGAAAGTGTTCCAACCCTTTTATCATTCGAGTTGCCCTTTTCTGCACTTTTTCCAAAGCTATAATATCCTTTTTAAGGTGTGGTGACCAGAATTGCACACAGTATTCCAAATGAGGTCTCACCATTGATTTATATAGGGGCATTATTATATTGGCTGATCTGTTTTCAATACCCTTCCTAATAATCCCCAGCATAGCATTGGCCTTCTTTATTGCAGTCACACACTGTCTCGACATTTTCAGTGAGTTATCTACTACAACTCCAAGATCTCTCTCTTGATCTGTCTCTGCCAGTTCAGACCCCATCAATGTGTATTTATATTTAGGATTTTTGGCTCCAATGTGCATCACCTTGCACTTGGCCACATTGAACCCCATTTGCCATGTTGACGCCCACTTGCCCATCCTTGACAGATCCCTTTGGAGTGCCTCACAATCCTCACTGGTTTTCACTACCCTGAACAACTTCGTATCATCCGCAAATTTAGCCACTTCACTGCTTACTCCCAACTCCCAATGATCGAGGTTTATAAGATTATGCATGGGATAGAGCAGGAAGAGAAAGAAGTACTTTTCTCCCCTTCTCACAATAAAAGAACTCGTGGGCATGAAATTGCTGAGCAGCCAGGTTAGAATGGATAAAAGGAAGCACTTTTTCACCCAAAGAGTGATTAACACATGGACTTCACTGCCACAGGAGGTGGTGGCGGCTACAAGCATGGACAGCTTCAAGAGGGAATGGGATAAACACATGGAGCAGAGGTCCATCAGTGGCTATTAACCACAAGGTATAGATAGGAACTCTTGGTCTGGGGCAAGTAATGCTCTGTATTCTTTGTGCTTGGGGGGGGCAACAGTGTGAGGGCTCCTAGTGTCCTGGCCCCACTGGTGGACCTCCTGATGGCACCTGGTATTTTTGGCCACTGTGTGACAGAGTGTTGGACTGGATGGGCCGTTGGACTGGATGGGCCATTGGCCTGATCCAACATTGGCTTCTCTTATGTTCTCCTGTTGTCCTTTTTTTGTTTTTTGCCATCAAGTCTCAGGCAACTTACAGAAACCCCATAGAGTTTTCAAGGCAAGAGATGTGCAGAGGTGGTTTGCCATGGCCTGCCTGGACTTCCTGGGTAGTCTCCCATCCAAGTACTAACCAGGGCCGACCCTGCTTAGCTTCCGAGATCTGACGAGATCAGGCTAGTACGTGCTATCCAGGTCAGAGTGTCCCGTGACGTGTTGGTGATACACGGCCCTAGACTTCCTTCCTGCAGCTTACCCAGGGCGCCATCTTGGATGGTGTAGCAGTGTTCACCGCATTCCCATGCATTGGTTTCTTCGTTGAAGACTGTGTTGAACCGGATCTGGCAGATCTCAAGAGTAGCCCCTTTGAGGAGTGAGATCTGATCCTCAATTGGCAGTTTTCTAGGTGGAAACAAACAAAAGTTGTAAGCCGTGGAACTAACTCAGCCGTGGACCCCGTCTCTAGCCACTTTTCCTTATGAACACTACCAGGCAAAGTACGCAAGCTGTGGGAAGAAAAACCAGGTGCCAGCATTTTATCTAGTAGGTGTACAGGCAGCAGGGCAACTGACAATCACTTGGGTGCTAGAATTTTTTTTTTAATTACATTTTATTTTATTTTTAAAAAGTCAAGGTGTTAAAATCATCAGCTGGTGGGTTGGGATCTTTGAGTGGTCCATCTGGTCCAAGGGAAGTCATATCAATGCACTTTTCTGCATTCTTATTTTCCTTGCTTGTAAGTTCCTGTTTCGTTGGAGAGGGGTTTTTTTGTTCTGTACGTGTTTTTCTCCCTTTAGTGGTAGATTTTTTGGTGAATATTTGTGTGTGTATGTACGCCTGGAAGTTATAGTTGACTTCTGGCAACCCTAGTGAGGCTTGGATGTTTCAGATAGGTGGCTTGCTATTGCCTGCCTCTACCTCCCAGCCCTGGTATTCCTTGGAGGTCTCTCTCCCAAGTACTTGGCAGGGTCAGCCCTGCTTAGCTTCCAAGGTCTGATGAGATTGGGCCAGTACAAATACAATACCTTTATTGGCATAAAATATCAAATACACATGCAGCATAGAGCCTCAAGATAGGCTGGAGGGGTATCACATTCCGAATTGCCTTAATATGAGCCTCTCCTCCTAGATACCTCATAAAAGAAATTTGCTACGGGTTCCAGAATTTCTATATTATGCGAAGACAATAAAGAACTAATCTTATGCTCATCAGATTGGCCCAAAAGGGGGTCCAACACAGGTTCAATATAAACAACACGGATGTCATAGTGGAATTTACAGTACAATAGCACATGTCCAATGGATTCAATTTCCCCCATCCCACAGGGGCACAATCTATCTTTATAGGGAATTTTCTTTTTTTTTTGTAAACAAATTTTTTTATTTTCTCAGGAATACAACATATACAATTAAGTCATTTCATTCTATCAATTGTCTACCCCATTCCCAATTCCTCCCCTCCCTCCAATGGCTTCCCGCAATGCTTCCACCCCTTCTCCAGATATTTCATACCCTCAATTATATCAATTTCTTATCATTACAATCTAAAGATAACATCATTTAACTTAATATTGATCTAGACATATTAAGTTTTGTTTCACATCCCAGTTCTTTTCCAGATATATTTTAAAGTCACTCCATTCTTGAAAAAACATGTCGTCTTCTTTTTATAGGGAATTTTCTTGAACCTTCCCGATAGAACAGCTGAGGGAAGGACGTCGAACCGCGCTCGCATGAAAGCCCTACGAAGATGGGGCTGAATCAGTCTTGCCAGGTATCCTGAGGAAATGTGGCTAAAAGAAAGTCCCATACTCAAGGGAGAGCAATGTCTGTGCGCAAGTCTTCTCAGATCTTGCACCTCTATATTGAGGAGTCTTTGTTTGAGTAAGGCAAAAGCCTGGGCTTGCCTGGCTATCCAGGTCAGGGCAGCCTCTAGGGGTAGATTTGATATCACATCAGTGTATGTCCGGCATAAAAACCTGCAGTTTAAATCTGCAAGGAGATATGCCAAACGTGAAGCGATGTAATATCAAATTGGCCATTAGAGGGAGCAAAAGACATGCAGAACAGACACACACACACCAGCGACAGGCACACACCAGGGAGGAAAATGAAAATGCGGAAAAGCCCAATAGTCCTGCCATATGAGAGACAGATGGGAACAGAGAACAAGCAAGAGAAAAGCGAAGAGGAAGACGGGCATAGACTGTTTAAAGTGGGTTCTTGCTGAAGACTGAGTTGCTTCCACACTGGGTCTTGCGTCTAGCATTGGTGCTGATAAGAACTGGGCTTCCCCTTTCCGTTTCCACAGAGCCTCGTGGCATTCTCATCCATCTTCTGGCTCTTCTGTGACCTTTCCTAAACCTGTTTTACTACAACCTTTTTATATCGATCACAGCAAAGCCGGGTTGGTTGCCACATGGATAGGAAAGTCCTGATCTTCCCCAGTCAAACCTACATCATCCCCATTTTCCCTACCCGGATCCTCCTTGGCTTCCACCACCTCCCCAAGCGTAGCTTTTTAAATCAGAAAGTGACATATCAGTATAGCATTATCCCTGATCTGGAGAGCCTAGGGTAGCCCGATCTCATCCGATCTTGGAATCTAAGCAAGGTCTACCCTGAGAGCCAGTTTGGTGTAGTGGTTAAGTGCGGGGACTCTAATCTGGGAGAACCGGGTTTGATTCCCCACTCCTCCACTTTCACCTGCTGATGTGACCTTGGGTCAGTCACAAGCTCTGGCACAGTTGTCCTTGAAAAAGAGCAGTTTCTGTCAAGAGCTCTCTCAGCCCCACCCACCTCACAGGGTGGGGAATTTGAATACAGAGCCTGGAGTTGCTAAAACTGCGCTTTACGTGGTGGGTGGTGAGAAAGTGCTCTCAAGTCGCAGTTGACTTATGGTCAGAGGTAGGGTGTTGAGAAGATCAAATCAGTCAATCCTAAAAGAAATCAACCCTGACTGTTTCCTGGAAAGCCAGATAATGAAACTGAAGCTCAAATACTTTGGCCACCCAATGAGAAGGGAGCACTCACTGGAGAAGACCCTGATGCTGGGAAAGATTGAAGGTCAACGAAGACGGGGACAGCAAAGGATAAGATGGTGAGACAGTGTCATAGATGCAATGAACATGAAATTGAGCAAACTTCAGAGGATGGCGGAAGACAGGAAGGCCTGGCGGGATCCGGTCCATGGGGTCGCGAAGAGTCGGACTCGACTGTGCGACTGAACAACAACAACAACAAAAAACCTACTGCTCATTAATTTCACTTAGGTATTGTATTGTGAGAAAGGGAGAAAAGGACTTCTTTCTCTGCCTTCTCTATCCCATGCATAATTTTTTAAGGCTCTGTCATGTCACCCGTCAATCAGCATTTCTCCAAGCTAAGAAGCCCTAACCTCTCTAACCTTCCTTCATAGGGAGGGTGTTCCATTCCCTTAATCATTTTAGTTGCCCTTTTCTGCACCTTTTCCAATGCTATAGTATCTTTTTTGAGGTGCAATGACCAGAACTGTGCTTTGATCTTCCAGTGTTTTTATGTCATATATGCTGTTTTGGTCAACTGTGGCTTCATGACGTTGTTTCTATGTTTATATTGTAAGCCAGGAGGGAAAGTGGCAATGGCAGAGCCCGGTCTCATCCGATATCAGAAGCTAAGCTGGGTTGGTACTTGGAGGGGAGACCACCAAGGAAGACTCTGCAGAGGAAGGCACACCCGTTTGGCCAGTTTGGTGTAGTGGTTAAGTGTGCGGACTCTAATCTGGGAGAACCTGGTTTGATTCCCCACTCCTCCACTTGCACCAGCTGGATGACCTTGAGCAAGCCATAGTTCTGTCAGAGCTGTTCTCTCGAGGACAGTCCTTGAAAGAGCTCTCAGACACCTCACAGGGAAGGGAAGGGAAAGGAGTTTGGAAGCTGCTCTGAGACTCTGAGTGAAGGGCGGAGTATAACTCCAACCTCCTCTTCTTCCTCTTCCTCCTCCTCTGGAAAGCCCCTTCCTGGGGTTGCCCTACGTTGGCTGTGACTTGATGGCACATTCAACACACGTGCACTCACTGTAAGCCACCATACATTGCACAAGGGAGAAAGGCAGCTAAAATGCTTTACATAAACATATGTCCAATGTCGTTTCACATGCCTAGTGCATCCTCTAAAATTAATCTCCAGTGTTGTTCATTAACAATTAATTAAGTGCCGGCAAATTGCTGTGGACTTACAGCGACGCCGTAGGGCTTTCAAGGCAGGAGATGAGCAAAGGTGGTTTGCCACCGCCTGCCTCGGCCACATTTCTCCTCTGCTCTCAGCCAGGGCTATTTTTTGGCAAGAACGCACAGGTTCCGTCTGGCTTCAGAGTTGGCCACACCCACTACAGCTAAAACATCTGTGCTTGTGGCTACAGAGGGAAGGCCTGGAGAGCAAACCCCCCCCCCCCCCGCGACTCCCAACCTCCCCCACCGGGGGCGGGGATCGGGGAGGCATTTAAGGGCCAGCTTGCCAGGGATCCCGCAGCTGTGGGGCAACTGGGCAAGTCAAGGGAAGACATGGGGGTGTGGCCTAATATGCTAATGAACTGTGATGTTGGGTGTGGCCTATTATGCTAATGAGTTCCTGCTGGGCTTTTTCTACAAAAAGAGCCCTGGAAGACCCTTTCTGTTCCGTGTTATATTTTGGAGCCACTTGGTTAACTTGCGGGCATTCTGTTCTCTGGCAAAGGCTTCCGCCTCCTTTTCTTCTTCCCAGAAGGGGCAACCTGTTCTCAGCTCCACTCAGGACCTCTTTTATCTATCATTTATTAGGTTTAAAAGCCCGTAAGCTATACACCTTAAAAAGTTAACAGGTTAAAACAAAATTTTGCCATGTCTGTTATGCAGTTAAAACAGAAACTATTCAACAGGCGTCTCAGTCTTGTAGGTTCTGGGAAGGGCGAGAATTTCAGTAGCCATTTCCTCAAAAATGTTCCCTCTCCCAGCTGTATGTTTAGGGGAATGAAAAAAGATGTGGGAGAGGGAGTCCACATCCTCCAGTGATCGGTCACAGAAACGGACCACTTTTATCTATTCAGATCTGCCCAGCATTTTATACTGGATGCTGTGAAGAGGGTGTAAGGCCCGGGCTTTCTCCCTCTCCCTCTCCATTTTCTCCACCAATCCATCTTGATGAAGAGTTCTGGAGGACTTGAAAGCTGGGGCCCAATTCTGGGTCCATCCCTGTGTCTGGTTAAAGACATGGTCTAGGGGTTCTGTGGTCAGAACTTAATTCCCAAGTGCCTGGGTGTGTGCGCGGAGTCTTGATCAGAACGGCCGTGTGCAGAGAAAAGGAGCTTAACTAGGGGTAGGGCCTTTTTGGTGGTGGCCCCCCTATCTTTGGAACAGCCTCCCTTTTGTGGCTCACCTGGCGCCAAATCTGCCATCCTTTTGGTGCCAGGTTAAGACAGCCCTCTTTGCGAAGGCCTCTAAAGACCTCTCTCTGGTTATGCAGGGATCTGATATGATCAGCCACGCGTCTTTCTTTCATTTTGGGTCAGATCTTTTTGGGTCAGATCTATTGTTCTCTAATGTTTTTATGCTATTTTAAATTAAATGTTAATGTTCCATGCTTTTATCTACTGTATCCTATTGTTTTATATCTGTTGTAAACCGCCCAGAGAGCTTTGGCTATGGGCAGTATAGTATTATTAATAATAATAACAACAATAACAATGATAATAACAATAACAACAACTATAAGTACCACACCCCCTACTGCAGGGGTCCCCAGTGTGGTGCCCGTGGGCACCATGGTGCCCTCCGATACCTTTTCTGGTGCCCACCAAGTGTTTTAAGGAAGTGGGTGGGGCAAAATAGGGCTTTTGCCCAGCAAGGCTTCTGATTGGCTATTAGATATTTGATTGGCAGTGCAGATTTTTTTTTATGTTGCTTGGGCAGCAGCTGCCGTCAGAACACAAGGATCTACACTGTGTTACTGAAGTTAGGCTGTGGCGATCATTTTGTGGCTGGCTCCGCCTCCTGCGGCAGCCATTTTGTTGTGGCAGCCACTGTGCCATGTCAGCATTCCAAAGGTGCCCACAGGCTCAGAAGGGTTGGGGACCTCTGCCCTATTGTCATCCCAGTCTGAAATGGATGCTATTTCATTCATCCCGCTTGGGAAACTTACAGATAGCCCATCAGTACATTCAAGTCCCCCCACCTACAAACACACATTCTCCCAGTGACCCCTGCTCTATGCCCCGAAGAAGGCAAAAACCCTCCAGAATTCCTGGGCCAACCTGGCCAGGAGGAAGATTCCTTCCTGACCCCAAAGTGGTGATTGGCACTACCCTGGGTCTACAAGAAAGAAATGCCCAGGGAAATGCCGATCACCACTTTGGGGCCAGGAAGCCATTTTTCTCCAGGCCAGTTTGGCTGAAGATCCTGGAGGTTTTTTTGCCATCTTCTGGGCATGGAGCAGGGGTCACTGGGAGTGTGTTGGGGGGGAGGTATTTTTGAATGTCCTGCATTGTGCAGGGGGGTTGGACTGGATGGCCCTGGAGACCCAACTCTATGATTCTGTGATAAATGAGCTGAGCTCATCCCTCCCTGCCCTTCCTCTCGCAATCGGCCTAAATTCACAGAATCAGCACTGCCGTCCGATGGCCATCTTGCCTCTGCTTGAAAACCTCCAAAGAAGGAGGGCGAGAAAGGCCCGCAGATGCCTGTCCAGGGTGAACACCCTAACACCGTTCAGTCCTGTAAGGGAGAAAGCACGGCATATAAAAATGTTAAACAAACAAACAAGCAAAAACCCTGGGTTTGGCAAGACGACAAAGCTGCCCCCCCATGGAGATCTAACCTGAAAGACGGTATCGCCTTGGCAAACTGGATCACTTGCTGGATCATGAAGGTGCTGAGATCGGCAAAGAGCGGCAGCATGGAGAACACGTCCGGGAGGACCTCCTCGGGGTAGCTCTCCAAGTGGTCTTGCGGACTGGGCGGGCAGAGGGTGGGCGCGGTGGGATCCTGAGGGCTCCGGGACCTTGGGCTGTGGATGTACAGGCGCACTGGAGGCTGTAAGAAGAGGCTAGTTAAGAGGGGACAGAAGGGGGGGGGACGGCGCTCAGTAAACACGTGCCCCCCGTTAAGCGGCTACTCCTCATGAGAAAGGGACAGGAGCTTGAAAAGCAGGGGGCCGAGAATTGTCTCTAAAAGGTTTTATGAACTGGAAGGGAGTTGTTTTTCTCTCTTCTCCCTCCCTCCCTCCCTATAAAACCAGTTCGTAACAAATTACTATCTGAGGGCTGTGTGGGCAGGCAGGCTAATAACAGCTATTTATACATATTATTACTGCGACGGGTAGTTTCTCTCTCGGGCCCCAAAGAGATTCTTTGGCAGAGGTGCCTATTTGATTGTCTCCGAGAATGCAGGCTTCTAAATACTGCATGTGTGGATAAATTTCAGTGATGGTGTTTATGGGTTGTCGGGACTGGGCTGTAGAGGTGCCTAGATCTGTTCTTTTTCCTTTTTTTTTTTTTTTTAAAAGGCAGAATGAAATTGGCTACAGAGACATATCTGTCCCGAGCAAACTGGCTTCTGCGCTGTACACCAGCTCTGTCAGCTGCGTCCCATAGGGGGAAATCAGAAAATCAGAGGAGGAGAAGGAGGAGGAGTTCTTGAATTTATACCCCGCCCTTCACTCGGAGTCTCAGAACAGCTTACAATCTCCTTCCCTTCCTCTCCCCACGGCAGACACCTTGTGAGGTAGGTGGAGCTGAGAGAGCTCTGAGAGAACTGCTTTTGAGAGAGCAGCTCTGAGAGTGCTGTGACTGACCCAAGGTCACCCAGCTGGCTACATGTGGAGGAGTGGGAGAACCAAACCCGGTTTTCCCAGATTAGAGTCCGCTGCCCTTAACCACTACACCAAACTGGATGTACAGGTACACTGGAGTCTGGAGGAAGAGGCTAGTGGGGATAGAAGGGTGGATGGCTCTCAGTAAACACATGCCCCTGTTAAGCGCCTAGTCCTTATGAGAAATGGACAGAAGATTTAAACACAGGGGCTGAAAATTGTCTCCAAAGGAGGAGGAGGAGGTTGAATTTATACCCTGCCCTTCACTCAGAGTCTCAGAGCGGCTTACAATCTCCTTCCCTTCCCCTCCCGACAACAGACACTCTGTGAGGTAGGTGGGGCTGAGTGAGAGAATTGCTCTTGAGAGAACAGCTCTGAGAGAACTTGTGACTGGCCCAAGGTCACCCAGCTGGCTACATGTGGAGGAGTGGGGAATCAAACCCGGTTCTCCAGATTAGAGTCCGCCACTCTTAACCACTACACCAAACGTTGCCTCTAAAAGGAAGGAGAGCTCAGATGACAGGAGGGCTTGCGGAACTCAATGCCACAAGATGTGGTTGTGCTCACTGGCTCAGATGGATTTAAAAAGGGAGGCTGGATAGATTTATGGAGGACACATCAGTTGCTGGCTGTTAGCTGTGACGGCCGAATGGTGCCTCCAGGTTCAGGGGTGTTGTGGGATGTTGGGGTGCATTCAGCAGAGGGCAACGAGCCCTGTTCATGGGCTTCTCTATGGCATCTCAGTGGCTGCTCTTAGAAGCACAGGGTGATTTGCCACAAGCGCTGCTCCGTGCTCACGCCTCCCTTTTGCCCCAATGGTACGTGTCAATTTCACACAAGCTGCTGTGCTTCTGTATTTTGCCCCGCAGCTTTCCCCCGCGTCCTGTTTTTTGAGGATTGAGTAGACGTGGGGGAAATCGCACAAAGGTACGGTGGAAAATGCGGCTGCACGGCAGCTTGTGTGAAATTGACACGTACCATCGGGGCAAAAGGGAGGAGCGAGCGCGGAGCTTGTGAAAAATCACCCACCGTGTTGGACTAAACAGGCCATGAGCAGGGCTATTTTTGGGCGGGAACGCACAGGAACGGAGTTCCGGCTGGCTCCCGAGTTGGCCACGCCCAGCAGGAACCCATTAGCATAATAGGCCACACCCAACAGCAGAAACTCATTAGGACTGGCTACATTAGGGGTATGTGGCCTAACATGCAAAGGAGTTCCTGCTACAAAAAAAAGCCCTGAGTTTTGACAACAAACAAGGTAAACAGAATATGAAGCAAAAGGTGGGTGTGGCTGGATAACAACACTTCTGGTAACAGGGGTGTGGCCTCATATGCTAATGACCTGTGCTGTCAGGGGTGTGGCCTAATAAGATAATATGTTCCTGCTGTTGGGTGTGGCCAATTATGCTAATGAGTTCCTGCTGGACTTTTTCTACAAAAAGAGCCCTGGCATGGGTATGACCCAGCAAGTGTTTTCTTATGTTCTCGCGTTAGAGCAGGGGTCTCCAACGTGCTGCCTGTGGGCGTCATGGGGCCCACTGACACTTTACCTGGTGCTCCACCAAGTGTTTTCACAAAGTGGGTAAGCCTTGTGCCCAGGAAGGCTTCTGATTGGCCTAAGAAGTTCTGATTGGCTGTGCAGATTAAAATAGCATTGCTTTGGTGGCACCTGGCTCCACAGTGTTGGTTTTATTCTGTATCTCTCTCCTGTCTCCCCATGTATTGTTTCAATTATCTCTCCTCCTTGATGCACTTAGAGTTTCTCTAAGTGTGTGTATGGCTCCGCCTCCAGTTTGGTGTAGTGCTTAAGTGCGCGGACTCTAATCTGGGAGAACCGGGTCTGATTCCCCCACTCCTCCACTTGCAGCTGCTGGTGTGACCCTGGGTCTGTCACAAGTTCTTTCAGAGCTGTTCTCTCAGGAGCAGTCCCCGGGAGAGCTCTCTCAGCCCCACCTACCTCACAGGGTGTCTGTTGTGGGGGGCGGAAGGGAAAGGAGATTGTAAGCTGCTCTCCTTCGGGTACCGAAGGGCAGAGTATAAATCCAATCTCGTCTTCTTGTTCTCCCAAGGAAGTTATTTTATGGTTGTGCCCACCGCCACCATGTCAGAATTCCATAGGTGCCCACAGACTCAAAAAGGGTGGGACCACTGAGTTAGAGGGACACCAGCTGTGCAGGAGTATCTTACAACAGTCCACAACAACAACTACCAGCGCTGGGAGGGGCTGCGGCTCAGTGGAAGAGCCTCGGCCTTGCACATGGAAGGTCCCAGGTTCAATCCCCGGCATCTCTAGTTAAAAGGACAAGGTTGTAGAGCCTGAGACCCTGAAGAGCGGCTGCCAGTACAAGGGGACGATACTGACCCCGATGGACCGATGGTCTGATTCAGTATAAGGCAGCTTCATGAGTGTTTACGACTACTACTTTTGTGACCTTGGGTCAGTCACAAGCTCTGTCAGAGCTGTCCTTGAAAAAGAGCAGTTTGTGTCAGAGCTCTCTCAGCCCCACCCACCTCACAGGGTGTCTGTTCTGGGGAGGGGAAGGGAAAGGAGTTTGTAAGCCGCTCTGAGACACCTTTGGGTAGTGAAGGGCAGGGTATAAATCCAATCTCTTCTTCTTCTTCTTCTCCTACCGATGAATTAATTATTATTAATTTATGATTAGCTTCATTTATAGTCCGTCTTTCTCCCTGGGACTCAAGGCAGATTAGAAGAAGAGAAGAAGAGACTGGATTTATACCCTGCCCTTCACTACCCAATGGAATCTCAGAGCGGCTTGCAAACTCCTTTCCCTTCCCCTCCCCACAACAGATACCCTGTGAGGGAGGTGGGGCTGAGAGAGCTCTAAGAGAAACTGCTCTTTCCATAACAGCTCCGAGAGAACTTGTGACTGACCCAAGGTCACACCAGCAGCTGCATGTGGAGGCGCTAACACGATAAGAGCTACCCGATCAATCGGCAAGCAAATTACAAAAAGCGATTAAAAATTTATAACGACAAAGGTTCTCAGCAAAGTAATGCAGAAGGTTCGAGGTTCAGGTTCAACCCCTGGCATCCCAGTTAACAGCATCAGATTGCAGGTGACGTGACAGACCCTGCCTGAGTTCGCAGAGCGCCACTGCCTGCCAGACCAAGGGTTTGATTCGTTTTAAGGTGCATTCCCGTATCTGTGTGAGCTTGCTGTTCCCTCGGTCTAGAGCGCTGCTCTGCAGATATTGCCCCGTAACTCACTTGGTAGTGGATGAACTGGGCAAAGGTGGAGTCAAAGTGCTTCTTGTGCGCCTCCGTCAGGATCTCAATCAGTTGCTCCTGCTCTGCGGTTAAACTGGTCACCTCGGACGGCTCCCACGCCTCTATGGGACTCTGTCCTTGACGCTGTTTCTGCCGCCGCAGTGCCCGGCGTAGGCGCAGAGCCTCCTCTGACATAATCACTAGGGCAGAACCAAGAGATGTTGCTCAAAAGCAGGTCAATGCGGCACGTGCCCCACCAAGCCAGGCTCAAGCCCACCGTTCCACAGGGCGTTTCTTTTAATGTACAGCCAGACCCAAAATGTAGCGTTCGGGGGCAGAAGTGCGCACTTCCAAAAGAACATCTGCGCGCTATGCAGAAACGTGCGTTGCCAAAAGAACATCTGTGTCATCTGAAAATGGGCAGTTCCGAGAGAACATCTGTGGGGCTGTCCGATCTCCAGTTCTGAGGAGTCTGCCCTTCTTTATGTAGCAGTAGAAAAAAACAAGAGTTCCAGTAGCACTTTAAAGATTAATAGATTTGTGGCAGGGAATGAGCTTTTGTGAGTCACTGCTCACTTCTTCAGATCTCCTACTCCCCCCCCCCCCGGATGTAAACATGGGTGCACCGGAAACTTATGTATTTATTTAGGCAGATCATGAGAGTGAGAGCAGGAAGGGTTGCTTCAGTGCTTAGTTCTCGTGGCCCTTTCTTAAACACCCAGGGAAATGCTGATCGCCTCTTTGGGGCTCCAAAGAGAGCCAGTTTGGTGTAGATTAGCGAACTCTAATCTGGGAGAACTGGGTTTGATTCCCCACTCCTCCACTTGCACCTGCTGGATGACCTTGGGCAAGCCATAGTTCTGGCACAGCTGTTCTTGAAAAAGAGCAGTTTCTGTCAGATCTCTCTCAGCCCCACCTACCTCACAGGGTGTCTGTTGTGGGGAGGGGAAGGGAAAGGAGTTTGTAAGCCGCTCTGAGACTCCCTTGGGTAGTGAAGGGTGGGGTATAAATCCAATCTCCTCTTCTTCTTTGGGGTCAGGAAGCAATTTTTCTCCAGGCCAGTTTAGCCAGGGATCCTGGAGGGTTTTTTTTGCCATCTTCTGGTTGTGGAGAAGAGGTCACTGGGGGTGTGGAGGGGAAGATATTTGTGAATTTCCTGTATTGTGCAGGAGGTTGGACTAGATGACCCTGGAGGTCCATTCCAACTCTATGATTCTGTGATTTGTACCCGGCCTTTCTCCCCAGTTCAGACCCAAGGCGGCTTCCGTCATTCTCCTCTCCTCCGTTTTATCCTCGCAACAACCCTGTGAGGTGGGTTAGACAGAAAGCGTGACTGGCCCAAGGTCACCCAGCGAGCTTCCATGGCACAAGTGGGGATTCGAACCCGCATCTCCCAGATACTAGTCTGCCCCTCTTAACCACACTGACTCTCTGGTCAACTGCTTCGGGCAGCCAAGGAGAAGGGCCTTGATACACTGCAGGGGTTCAGTTCACTCCCCAGCTATTGGTGATTGGAATCCCCTACTGGGCCTGTTCCACTGTTGGCAGCGCTCACCCGGGAGCGCTCAAAAAGGTCCAGGTGGGAAACCGGAGAGGAAAGAGTTGCTGCTGGCCATTGTTGAGGCCGGGGAAAGAGGCAACCCCAGAGACAGGGCCTGGTAAGTAAGGCGATTTCCTTTTGGCTGTATTCTGAACCGGCGGACGGTTCTGAGCGGGCAGCGCCGTGCGGTAATCCAGCCCAAAGGCTACCAAGGCATTGACAACTGTGGCAAAGTCTATGCCCTCCTCCTCCTCCCTCGGGCCCACACATCGCTTGTCCGTAGCAGGCATGGCCGACACTGCATAAAGGTGTTGCCACACTGCGTTTGCTTTCCTTTTCACACCGGCCTTCCCTAGGGGCGCATGTGTTCCCTCTCCCCCACCACCACCACCTGCCACGGCTCAGCCTGATCGGGATTCTGCAGGGGCCGCCTGCTTAATTGAATCGCGGAGCCACCCCCCTGCCCGCCGGTGGCAGCTCTTTAATGGGATTCTGTCGAGAGGGGTCAGGTGCGAATGGCACCAGCGGAGCCGCTGGCTGGCGTGCGGCACACCGATCTGGACTGTATTCCTTTCCCCCCTCCCCGCCCAGCGGATAAACAGAAGGCGGACTGCCGCATGGCCCAGCCTACCGACGCCAGAGACTGCAATGCATCACCGTTTTGGGGGCCCTCTCGCACACGGCTCTTTGTTTCCTTTCCCGACGCTGCAGGATAAACGGTCAGCCCGAGGCTGCCGTCGCCCGCTTCCCCCTCCCCATCTCACCCCATTAGGGGATTATTCTGCACAGGTCCCTGTTGTGAGATCTGCCGCCAACCCGCCTCGTTTGCCCCCTTTGTGCAAGGGAAAAGAACGGATAAATCTCGTCTGGTTCTCTCTCCCCACTCCTTTAATGAAACCTGACCCCGCTGGCCAGCCGAGGCAGAGGAAAGCCAGGCCTGGGCGGCCTCCTCCATCCATCCACCCAGCTCTCTCTGGCACAGTGTGTGGCTCCCCGGGGAGATGATGCGGCTTTGCTGACAATCTCCGCCTCCTCTCCCTCCTCCGTCTCCCCCCTCCTTGCCCAAGATAGCTGCCGAGCAGACAGGCAAGAAGAGGATTTTCCACAGGCGCACGCACGGTGTTCCAAGCCCACCCACCCGCTGCTGCGGAGGGGGCCCTTTGCCTGAGCAGGGATGTCCTTGGCCTGGAACAGAAAAAGCTTTCGACCCCCGTGGCCCGTTGAGCCCCACCCCACCCCAATTCCTCACACAGCTATTAAACCAACAAGAACTGGTCTCTCTGTGTTTGCTTTTCGGGCTGCGTGCCGGGGTGGGGATCCTCGGTTTCCTTCTCTGCTTTGATTCTAAAAATTATCCCGGATCCAGGTTGGGGACCTCCTGGGGATTTGGGGATGGAGCCTGGGGAGGGCAGGGACCTCAGCGGGACACACTGCCACAGAGCCCACCCTCCAAAGCAGCCATTTTCTCCGGGGGAGCTGATCTCTGTTGTCTGGAGATGAGCTGTTTGGAGTAGTGGTTAGGAGCGCGGGCTCTAATCTGGGACAACCGGGTTTGATTCCGCCACTCCTCCACAGGCAGCTGCTGGTGTGACCTTGGGTAGTCACAAGTTCTCTCGGAGTGGTTCTCTCACGAGCAGTCCTCAAAAGAGCTCTCCCAGCCCTGCCCCACCTACCTCACAGGCAATGTTCCCTCTAAGCTGTGGAGTCTTGTGAGCAAGAATTCTACTTTGTGAGCTACTGGCATTAAAGTTGTGAGCGAGCGATTTGGCTGCTGCATAAGTCAGTTTGCTCTGGAGCCATCCTTCCTGAGCCAGGACAAAAACGTGTGAGCCGGAGGCTAAAAAACTGTGAGCTAGCTCACACTAACTCAGCTTAGAGGGAACACTGCTCACAGGGTGTCTGTTGTGGGGACGGGAAGGGGGAGGAGACTGTAAGCCCCTCTGAGACTCCCTCAGGGAGTGACGGGCCGGGTATAAATCCAATCTCTTCTGTAATTCCGGGGGATCCCCAGGTCTCACCTGGAGCCCGGCAACTCTAGAACTGTGGTATCTGTCTAGGGGAGTCTTGCATTTTGCTCTGCCAGCAACACTGTGACGGAGGTGGCTGGAGGCACCACTGTCCCTGGCGAGGGAGGAGGGCCAATCCATTAATCCCCCCACCCTGAGGCTCCAAACTGCCCTCAAGCCTGCTGTCTGTGGGACTGAAGGAGCCCACACGGGTCTTGGCTCCGCTCCAGGACCGGCCTGGGGGAACGGAAGAGACGCTTCGTGCCCTGGCCACCACTGCCAAGGCAGAAATAGCCGGGACGGGCTCTGAGACGGGCGAGGCAGTTCCCTCTAGGCCCACTGAGCCAGCCATGTGTCGGAAGAACACAGTATTCCGGCAGGGCGCTGCGGGAGGGTTTGAGCCCTTTGGCAGAGCCCTCCGGCACAGGCATTAGACAGAGCATGAGGGGGTCTGTTGGTGGGTTCTAGTATGGGAGACCTGCCTGCAGAAACCGGTTGCTGCCAGAGCTGGGCCAGCTTTGCGGAATTGTAAACTGCTAAATGGGGGTGGGGGAGATCTAAATTTTTAAGAAATCCAGCTGTAGCACAGAATCCCAGAATCGTAGAGCTGGAAGGAACCTCTGGGGTCATCTAGTCCAACCCCCTGCACCATGCAGGAAATTCACAAACACCTCCCCAAGTGACCGCTGTTCCACACCCAGAAGTGACCGCCCAGAAGATGGCAAAAACTTCCAGGATCTCCAGCCAAACTGGCCTGGAGAGAAATTGCTTCCTGACCCAAAAGTGGTGATCAGCATTTCCCTGGATGTGTAAGGAAGGGCCACGAGAACTAAGCACTGAGGCAACCCTTCCTGCCCTCCCTCTCGTGATCTGCTCAAGTTCACAGAATCAGCATGGCTGTCAGGTGGCCACTGAGCCTCTGTTTGAAAACCTCCAAAGAAGGAGAGCTCACCACCTCCCAAGGAAGCCTGTCCCACTGAGGAACCTGGCCATCTCCTGTCCATACAACTGGTCCTGCTTGCTTCTGCATGGCTTAAGAACATAAGAACATAAGAGATGGCAATGTTGGATCAGGCCAAAGGCCCATCCAGTCCAACACTCTGTGTCACACAGTGGCCAGAAATACCAGGTGCCATCAGGAGGTCCACCAGTGGGGCCAGGACATTAGAAGCCCTCCCACTGTTGGCCCCCCCAATCACTCTTTGGGTGAAGAAGTACTTCCTTTTATCCGTTCTAACCCGACCGCTCAGCAATTTCATGGAGTGCCCACGGGTTCTTGTATTGTGAGAAAGGGAGAAAAGTACCTCTTTCTTTACCTGCTCTTTCCCATGCATAATCTTATAAACCTCGATCATGTCACCCCTCAGTCGTCTTTTCTCCAAGCTAAAGAGCCCTAAGCGCTTTAACCTTTCCTCATAGGGAAAGTGTTCCAACCCTTTTATCATTCGAGTTGCTCTTTTCTGCACTTTTTCCAAAGCTATAATATCCTTTTTAAGGTGTGGTGACCAGAATTGCACACAGTATTCCAGATGAGGTCGCACCATTGATTTATATAGCGGCATTATGATATTGGCTGATCTGTTTACAATACCCTTCCTAATAATCCCCAGCATAGCATTGGCCTTCTTTATTGCAGTCACACACTGTCTCGACATTTTCAGTGAGTTATCTACTACAACTCCAAGATCTCTCTCTTGATCTGTCTCTGCCAGTTCAGACCCCATCAATGTGTATTTATATTTAGGATTTTTGGCTCCAATGTGCATCACCTTGCACTTGGCCACATTGAACCCCATTTGCCATGTTGACGCCCACTTGCCCATCTTTGACAGATCCCTTTGGAGTGCCTCACAATCCTCACTGGTTTTCACCACCCTGAACAACTTTGTATCATCCGCAAATTTAGCCACTTCACTGCTTACTCCCAACTCCAAATCATTAATGAACAAGTTAAAAAGCAGTGGACCAAGTACTGATCCCTGTGGTACCCCACTGCTTACCTCCCTCCACTGGGAAAATTGCCCATTTATACTCACTCTCTGTTTTCTATTAATTAGCCAGTTTTTGATCCTTTTATCCCATGATTTTTGAGCTTACTTAGGAGTCTTTGATGAGGAACTTTATCAAAAGCTTTCTGGAAGTCAAGGTAAACAATATCTATTGGATCCCCCTTGTCCACATGTTTGTTCACCCCCTCAAAGAACATTAACAGGTTAGTGAGACAAGATCTTCCCTTACAGAACCCATGCTGAGTCTGCCTCAATAGGTTTTGTTCATCTATAATGCTACAGCATCCATAATGCTACAGCATCTGACCTTTCCACTGGGCCTCAAAGGGTTTAGCTCGCTCCTCTCCCCTCTCCAAATACAGGTGTGTCAGGTATAGGGTTGCCAACTCTGGTTTGGGGAATTCCTGGAGATTTGGGAGTTGGTGTTGTTACCTAGACTTAGTAAAGGTAAAGGTTCCCTTGCTCGAAAGCCAGTCGAATCCGACTCTAGGGTTGCAGTGCTCATCTCCATTTCCAAGCCGAAGAGCCAGCGCTGTCCAAAGATGTTTCCGTGGTCATGTGGCCGGCATGACTACACACCAAGGCGCACGGAACGCTGTTACCTTCCCATCAAAGTGGTACCTATTTATCTACTTGCAATTTCTTGCTTTCGAACTGCTAGGTTGGCAGGAGCTGGAACTAGAGACGGGAGCTCACTCCATCATGCGGCACCCAGGTCTCTAACTGCTGAACTACTGACCTTCCACAGCCTGCAGTTCAGCGTCTTAACCACTTGAGCCACCGCAGCTCCTACCTAGACTTAGGGAGGCACTTATTTCTCTTAGACTCAGTGGTATATATACCATACAGCCTCCCCTCCAAAGGGTTTCAGGAAGGGAGACACCACTCAAGTGAAGAAGAGTAGGTTTTTATACCCTGCTTTTCTCTACACTAAGCAGTCTCAAAGCGGCTTACAATCACCTTCCCCTCCCCACAACAGGCACCTTGTGAGGCAGATGGGGCTGAGAAAGTCCTGAGAGAACTGGGACTGGCCCAAGGTCACCCAGCAGGCCTCATGTGTCTCAAAGAGGCTGACAGTCGGCTTGTGAGGCAGGTGGGGCTGAGAGAGCTCTGAGAGGAACTGGGACTGCCCCAAGGTCACCCAGCAGGCCTCATGTGGAGAAGGAGTGGGGGAATCAAACCCCGTTCTCCAGATTAGAGTCCACCACTCTTAACTACTACACCCCCATGCTGTGGTATAATGCCACGGCATCCATCCTCCTCCAAAGCAACTGTTTTCTCCAGAACTGATCTCTGTCATCTGGAGATTCGTTGTAATTTGGGGGGAACTCCAGCTCCCACCTGGAGGTTGGCAACCCTAGCCCAGCATTCGATCCCAGGCCTCCTGGCCCCCAGAGTGAGAACCCTGCCTCTAAACCAACAAGCCTCACATGGATTTTCATATAACCTTGCCAGTGAGAAGATAAAAAAATGGCAGATGATTATCCCAGAAATTCAGCTCCTCTCATCGACTACACATCCCCCCGCCCCCATGTGGGGGAGAATGAGGAGTGGTTTTAGCCCGCCCCGCTATGAGTTCATGTGGGGCATCAGCCCGGACAGCCAGAGCACAGCATGAACCCTGTACTCGTGCCTCCGAGCATCCCCCAGAATGCTTTGCATTTGCAGCACACAGCGGCTGCACAGCTGAGGAAAATCAATGTTGCCTGGGAACAGAAAGTTTGACAACGAACCGATCTGGCTGCTGCCGAGAGAGAGAGAGAGAGAGAGAGAGAGAGAGAGAGAGACTTCCTCAGATCGCCTTGACCTGTGACTCCCGACTCCCTGGCGGGGAAGGCAGCAAGGAACCACCCTCTGGACTTACTGTCTTTCCGCATGCCCGCATCCAGGCATTTCTGGTAACGGCAAGCCTGGCACTGGCGCCGCTTGGCTTTGGTGATGGTGCAGCTGCGGGTGAAGGGGCAGGTGAACTGGACGCCCTTGATGACGGTCCGTCTGCAAGAGAGGAGGAAGAAACACGAAGAATGGGCTGTCCAGCTGTAGATGACTCGTGGCGAACTCAACCACGGGGTGCTGAAGGCAAGAGGCTTTCAGAGGGGGTTTGCCACTCCCTGCCTCTGCGTGGCGTCCCCAGTCTTCCAGGGTGGTCTCCCATCCGTGGACCAACACTGCTTTGGGTTCTACGTTCTCATGAGATCAGACTAATCTGAGCTATTAGGGCTGGCATAAAAGATAACTGTGTGCCGTCGAGTCGGAACTGACTCATGGCGACCCCAGGACCATGGAGCTTCCTAGGCAAGAGATAAGCAGAGGTGGTTTGCCATTGCCTTCCTCTAAGAATTATTATGACCAGGGGTCATTTCGTAGAAAAAGAGCTAGGGGAACTCATTAGCATAACTCATTAGCATATGCCACACCCCCTGACATCAGGGGCCCGGCGGTGGACCTGCAAGGCCAGCGGGAGTGCGAGGAAGCCCCGCCAAGGCCCTCCCTGGCCCCAGGCAGGCAGGGGTGGGGAGAGGCGGGGAGGAAGCAACTTACCCTCCCTCTTCTCCTGCCTCCTCCTGGCTGAATGAGGGCTGGAAGCGGGGCGGCCGGAAGCAGGGGGCGGGGCTTCGTCATGTTCCCCGCCCCCTGCACCTCACCTGGGGGAACTGCGATCCCCCATGTTCCCCCCCGAAATGACCTCTGATTATGACTATTGTATGGAAGTGTGTGTATAGAATAGCCAGGAGATCCTAAGATTGTCTGGCAGCCTCAAGTTCTAGCTCTTTTAGCATCGAGCAACACTAGGGGGTGAGGTAGATTTCGTTTTTGGGCTGAGAGAGCTCTGAAAGAGATGTGACCGACCCAAGGTCACCCAGCTGGCTGCATGTGGAGGAGTGCGGAATCAAACCCGATTCTCCGGATGAGAGTCTGTTGCTCTTAAGCACTACACCATGCTGGCTCTCTGCCTCTGTAAAGTAGCCACAGTCTTCCTCGATGAGCGTGGTCCGAACGGGGCTATACGCCCTTCATTTGTGCAGTGTGTGGGGAGGGCCCATTAGGGGACCACACTACACGAGGGGCAGGTGACGGGGCCTCTATTCCCTCCACCCTCCCGCTCCAGAGCTAACAGGAGCTCTGTGACTCACATCAGGGCATAGAGTTAAATGGTCAGCCCGGCTTCCCCCCAGTCTCCCAGTCCATCACTGCAGCTGTGATAGCTAGGGTGGTGTAGTGGTTAAAGTGTCTGACTAGGATCTGGGAGACCCAGGTCCGAATCCCTACTCGGCCACGGAAGCTTCTTGGGTGACCTTGGGCCAGTCACAAACTCTGAGCCTGACCTCCCCCATAGGGTTGTTGTGAGGATAAAATGGAGAACTACGTTAAGCTGCTTTGGCTCCCTATTGAGGAGAAAGGTGGTGGATAACTGAATTAGATAAATAAAAACACTTTTTTAAAAAATCAGGAAGAAGAGAGAGACGAAGAGATTGGATTTAGACCCCACTCTTGGCTTGGAGTCTCAGAGCGGCTTACAAACTCCTTTCCCTTCCCCTTCCACTACAGGCACCCTGTGAGGTAGGCGGGGCTGGGAGAGCTTTGAGAGAACTTGTGACTGACCCAAGGTCACACTAGCAGCTGCATGTGAATGGGTGGGGAATCGAACCCAGCTCTCCCAAGTTAGAGCCCGTGCTCCTAACCACTACACCAAACTGGCTCTTTAACCACAGATCTCTCACATTGCATCTAGCTTCAAAGGGTTTTTAAAGACGGAAGCCCCCTATTCAAATCCTGACTTGGTGACAAACTCACTAAATAGTAGGGTTGCCAGCTCTGGGCTGTGGAATACCTGGAGATTTGGGCGGTGGAGCTTGAGGAGGGCGGGGTTTGGGGAGGGGAGGGGAGGGACTTCAATGGTGTATAATGCCATAGAGTCCACCCTCCAGAGCGGCCATTTTCTCCAGGCGGACTGATCTTCGTCGTCTGGAGATCAATTGTAATCAGGGGTCATTTCCTGCAGGAGGGCACAGGAGCGGAGCTCCAGCAGCCCTCAGTCAGAGCAAGAAGCAGCCAGGTAAGTTGCAGAGCCCCCCCCCCCGGCCTCCCGGCCCAAAACAGTCCAGTGGCACCTTTAAGACCAAGTTTTATTAAGGTACAAGCTCTCCCTACTCTGCGAGGACAGATCTGCACGTTCCCCCCCCCATAGCTAGCTATCCAAAACAGTCCAGTGCAGCCTGAGGGGTGGGTGTTGCCTTCTGACACAGTTCCGATGATGTCAGGGGGTGTGGCATATGCAAATGAGCTATGCTAATGAGCTCCTGCACCTCTTTTTCTACGAAATGACCCCTGATTGTAATAGTGGGAGGTCTCCGGGTTCCACCTGGAGGCTGACAACCCCACTCAACAGACTTTGTCTCAGCTTCCGCCCACCCCCTGCCTGTCACATGAAGAGAATTCTGCTGGCCTGCTGAGAAGTGCTTTTGAAGACTCTGCCCTAGGATTGCTGGGTGTGGGTTTCGGCTGCCCTACGGGAGAACCTCCCCTCCTCTCCCCACACATCTGGGGCAAGAACGTACCGGAAGAAGCCTTTGCATCCTTCGCAGGTCATGACGTGGAAGTGGTAACCTGTGGCCCGGTCTCTGCACACGGCACAGATCTTCTCCTCGCCGTCAAGATCTGTGTCTCCGCCTCTCGAGGTGGTGGTACTCGGGCTTCTGCTGCCGCTGCTTTCGCCGTCCGATGGGCACTGCATGCTGGCAGACCTGCCTGTCTGTTCCCTGCCGCTTGCTGTTCTGGGAGCACAGAAACCAATTTTGTTAAAATTCACGGTGTTTATAGTCCGCCTTTTTTCTTTGGGACACAAGGAAGATTACGCAATGTTAAGTCAGTGCAGCCAACAGAAGAAGAAGAGGAGGAAGAGGAGATTGGATTTATAGCCCGCCCTTGACTCGGAGTCTCAGAGCGGCTCACAATCTCCTTTCCCTTCCCCTCAAGGGTCATTTCGTAGACAAAGAGCTAGGGGAACTCATTAGCATGACTCATTAGCATATGCCACACCCCCTGACATCAGGGGCCCGGCGGTGGACCTGCAAGGCCGGCGGGAGTGCGAGGAAGCCCCGCCAAGGCCCTCCCTGACCCAGGCAGGCAGGGGTGGGGAGAGGCGGGGAGGAAGCAACTTACCCTCCCTCTTCTCCTGCCTCCTCCTGGCTGAATGAGGGCTGGAAGCGGGGCGGC